GAATGCGCCAACCGCGTTCTCGAAGACATCCTTCGGACGTACTCTGTCGCATCGTCCACGACGTGGAGCACCCTGCTTCCCCACGCCGTGTTTGCCTACAGCGCCTCGGTTCAGGCGTCCACGGGCTTCTCGCCTCACTACGCAGTTCACTTGCAGCACCCTCGGCTGCCTCAACTCCTCGGTGGCTCTCCTTTATGTGTGGGAGGAGACACTGTTACCAGCGTCAAGCACTCCGTCGACGCTGCCGTTGTCCGCGACCATCTCCCAGTGCGAACGACGAAAGACATCAAGTCTTTTTTGGTCCATCGCACCTCGGTGTTGCGACAAATTCAAGACAGCTTGGTCGCCGCCCAGTCCAAGCAAGCGGCCCAAGCAAATGCACGCGGTCGCTCCAACCTGGCGACTTTCGAAATCGGCGACCAAGTCCTGTTGCACAAGTCCGCCGTGCCCTCCCATGCGTTCCGCGAACGCAATGGCAATCTAAGCGCCAACCCGAAGTTGCGTGGCGCTTGGTCGGACCCTTTGCTATCGAACAAGTCGTGAGTCCGACGAACTATTCACTCAACCTACCTGACGACTGGCACGTACACAAGTCTTTTTAGGTGGGAAAACTGAAGAGTTATTTATTACCTAACACCTCTCCTACCAACGACGATGCAACGATGGAAGCCGCTCGCTCGCGTCCCGCGGCTCCTCTTCTTCACCGTCATCCTCTTGGCCGACGAAGTTCGGCAACGGCACCGGAGCGGGATAATACCCCGCATAGGGATCCCCCTGCACTTCGAAGCACCGCGCCGCCTTCCGACTTGCCGGCGTGGCCGCCCACGCAGTCGACGGACTGCCTTCCATCTTGCGGCCTTCCACCCGCCGTGCAGGAGCCCAACCGACTCGTCGACGTTCGGTGGACGCAATCAGGTCGTCGATTTGCCCTGAGCGACGGCGCAACTGCAAGATGGATATCAGACGGCGAGGCAAAAGCGATCTTACCTCATGATCGAGCCGCCATACTACGCGCGTCGCGATCCGTGCGACGACGGCGCCTTGAAGACGATGGCACTTCGCGTGCCGGTTCATTGCGAAGTTAGTCAGCGCATTGGCCAACTCCGTTGTCGTCGTCGGCCACTTCCCGCGCCGACCACCTCGTTCTCGCCCCACCAACGAGAAGACGAAAATGCTGATGTATTCCAACATCGCCTCGTCTCCTCGTCGCGCAATCAACCCCACGTCCACGACCCATCCAGGGCACTGGGCCTTCATACTCCCCTTGAAGGCCGTGAACTCCAATGGGTGCGCCTCCGCCACCCAAAGGTGCTCGAAGGCGCACACCATCCAAAGGATGTGCCATTCCAAGTCTTCATGGCCGCCGCTTTGAAACATCTTCAAGTACGCTCCCACGCTGCTGGCGTCCAATGGGACGTAATTCGACATCTCGCGCAGCCGTGCCATGCGCTCCTCCACACGCGCCGCGTCATCGCGAGTCACCCCAGCAAACGTCCGCGTTGACAACAACCGGAGTACAACTTGATCTGCTGTAACTACTACTACTGCTACCTCCATCCGAAAAAGAATGTCCGACTTCAACTAAACACAAATCCGAAAAAAGAATATCCGACTTGACCTTCAATTAAAATTACAAAAATGCAATACAAGAAAGAAGACATTAAATTCGCTCCGTAACAATTACAGCTGCAAAATTTCCATCACGTCCACAGTAAATCCATCGTCGGCTTCGTCGTCGATGTTAAGCGCCCCCATCACGTTGCATAGCTCAACCAAGTCCAATTTTGCGTTCACTTCCACCTGTAGAGTATTCATCAGGTTGTCAACGTCCACGCAGCTCAGCTTGGAGCACCCATCAGCCCACACAGAGCGGTCGCACGGTAGACACTCGGGCAACTTCCCCTGCGCCATGAGCATCGACTTCTTCAAATGCGGTATCTTGAGTTGATATTTCCGTCTGATCGAATGACTTCTTGGAAGCAGGCTTGTAGGGTCATGAAGTTCCGACTCAACGTGCTTGGATCCACCACATTCCACGCATCCATGGTTGCGGCAACAATGTCTTCCACAATTCTTGAATGATGATTCGATTGTAGCGATTGAATCGCGCGGAAAAAGCCAAGATCCAAGACATTCAAGTCAGGTGAATTCGGCGGTTGACATACGATGGACATGGCCCAGCCATCCTTGTTGCATACGGCAACCACCTCGGCATCATTCGGGAGGACGTGTGGTTTGGCGTTATCTTGCTGGATCTTCAACTTCGTCGGCGCTGAGGGCCACCTCTCGCGGATCGCAGGTATAACGTTGTCGACGAGCATACGTCGGTACACTTCGCGCGTCACATTGACAGGTTGAAGGACAGCGTTTCCAGCTGGACGGTTGCGGCTTGTACGCTTGGCAGGCACGACTTCGGTAAAATGCCACGTTCCTATCTTGCCGTCGAACCATGACTGACGAGTGTCATCCCAGCGCGGGCGAGCAACGGCCGACAAGAACATCACCTTCTGGATGAACCGTTTTGATTTGCACGTCAGATGAGGTGGCAGGCACTTCACCTGGAGCGGGGTAAAATGTCTTCTTGAGTCGTGTCATGAAAAACCATTTCTCACCTATGTGCACACAGTCGATGAGGTTGTCGAACACAAGCTCACCGTTCTCGTGGCGGACATGGTCAAGTGCCCAATTTAGTCGAGCAGTTTGGTTTGCCGGAGTCAATAAAGGTTTGATGTTGCTTGAGTATTTCGAGAAGACCCCTCGTTTGAAGTAGTCATGAAGTGTGACGGCGGCAATCCCATTGCTGCTGCGATGGACTTAAAGGTGGTTCGACGAGCTTTAGGGACTTTGCGTAGCTGATCTGCAAGGTTCATGTATTTAATCTTTCGTCCACTTCTTGTCTTCTTTCGAGAAGATACATCAGCACATATGGCCTGCACGCCGGAGCAATCAAGAGAGGCGCGTGTCCAAATACGATGAACAGTCCTTGGGTCACAATCAAACAAAGTCGCCATGCTCTTAACTGTGCCTCGAGGTAGCTTGCCATTCGGAAGGCAGACCTTCAAGAGTGCTGAAGTAGGTGTTGCCTCTGAGTGTTCGTCAGGTTCTTCTTCTTGGTGCCAGCGCGTATGATTTGGAGCCGCCAAGTTTTCCCGCCGATTTTGCGGATGTTATCCGGATTTTTGATTAGTCCCATTTACGTGCACGCGACACTACACTTGCTTTAGTTATTTGGATTGGATTCGTTTTTTCTCTAATGTTGATGCTATTTTGGGACTTTTTGTTTTCATTGAATTAAGCGTACATTTCTCTATTCAACTGTATAGTTTTTTGGCATATTTTACGTATTTTCAAGTTCGTTTTCGCAAAACACGAAGTCGGACATTCTTCTTCGGATGGAGGTACAGCAACAACTTGAATAGACACAACTTATTCAGGTCGGCGAGATCGCATTAGCTCAGCAAGAGCTACACCACCCAGTTGAACACAAAGTTGAACATAAAGTAAAAGGCAATGAGCTTAAATCCCCCGTCTCCTAAAGCTCTTCGGTCCATGCACGCGCAACACAATCTGAGCGACTTTGCATCCTCCTGTACAGTCACAATGAGGTTTACGCGGTAACTTGCTCTTCTGTAGTAAGCAGTATTTAGAAACCTTAAATTTATGAAACATCTTACTTTTGGCTAAATTAAATTTCGTGTTGAAGTCAGCATTCCAGCGAAGAACTACAAGCAACAGGTCATTAAGCACCGAGCGACGAATAAGTTTATCCGGATATCCTGGGGATCGTATCATCGACACAAAGAGCAGAACGATGACCCTGTCGGAGGCACAAGAAGCCCTACTGGACCGCCTCGAGAAGGCAAGCCATGGAAAAGAAGCGGTGGACCTATTGCCGACCAAACCAAGCATGTCCCTGAAGCAGTACTACGCGCTGAAGGTTCCTGCAAACCCTGCCACAACGAACCCTGTCGTGCTTTCGTCAACGGTCCAGAAATTCCTGACAAACGCCCAGAAGTGCTATCGGGCGTGCGAAACGGTGGAAAAGCATACGGAGAAGTCGCTCGCATTGCTTCAAGAGATGGAGGACCGTCATGTGTCGGTGAAAACATTGACAAGCGCCTTGTACGAGAGCTTCGAGACGCTCCTGACAGAACTGGATGAGCTCAACGTCAAGGTGCAGAACCTGGAGGGACCGTTACCGTATTTTACACGCATCTCGAACATTGCAAAAGCAGTCGGTGCGTCATGCGTTTGCATGGGACTTCATGTCTGTCGAACCTTGTCACGTGTAGGTGGAAAGATTGACTTTTCGTCTCGAGTTGAAGCGTCCGGGGAGTCCACGGTACGCTCCCGCATGCTCGTCCCGCTCTCCGATAAGATGAAACTAGGTCATGGTGCACGTTCGCCCGTACATGTTTGGTGCAATCGATCCGACGTCTCCGACATTTGAACAAGGCATCGTTGACCTCGATGACTGCGTCACGTTTCTCCAGCAGCACGTTCGTCGACAACATATTTGGGAATGCTTCTCACACACGATTTTGGCAGAAAGATTTCAAGGACGCCCCCATGTACCTGGCCGCGTACGGGGAGCTCATGATAAATGCGCTGCACACGTTGCGAGATTATGCCGTGGCCATGCTCGAGTCGGCACGTGATCTCGTGATTGGAGCGGTATCCCCACAAGTTGGGTGTTTGTTCAACATGACGATCGAAATTGCTGACGTATATCCCATCGTTTTAGCCATCGACAACGCCACCACAGGAACTAGACGAAGCCTCGGTATACTACCTACAATTCCACGCCGCTGCCCCTGCCTGCCAAGCATTGACCCGCCACCTTGATCAGCGTGACACAATTCCAGGGTAACTCGTCTCTTTCAAATCGATCTATCTTGGCGTGAACACCAAGTCGTTGTGTCGTGCAGTGGGTTGAACTGACCGATGAAAACCCATTATGCTGAACGTGGCGCGCTAGGAATGAATCGTATTTGCCGGACGTGCTAGACACGTACGTGAGCGTCCGCACACAACTACTGACGCCGGTTGTGGTGGCGTACTTGACGTCAGTGAATCAAAATGTCGATATTGTGAGCTTGGTACGGCCAAACAGCCCTCGCCGATTTGTTTGATAAAATCCGATTCATGTGCAGCTCCGCATTGGGTGCCAGTACATGGTGCGCCTCTGCCATGCAGAATACACGCTGTTTCGGCATGTCTTTGCCGCCGCCCCGACAGCGCCCGTGCTTCAAGTCGAAGACCAAGATGAAAACGCATTTCAGTATGCGAGTTCGTGTGATGTTGGGTCAAGATGCATCCTTCATGTAGGCGCATGATTTTTCAGCTCAGCTACACGTTGTACCACACCGTGCGACCACGTATGATCCAGCAGCACAACCTCGAAGTGCTTTGTGAGATCGTTGAAGTCTTGCGAAGCGAAGTGATCGATACGCACATTCGACCACGTGGAGATGCTGCAGAGGCCGTCGAGCCTGTCGTCGGACGCATGATTGGCGACGCCCAAGAACGACTCATTCTGTGCACGCAAAAGTACATTCGCGACAATATCGAAGCGTTTGTGCCAACTCCAAGCGATTTGAACTACCCGGAGAAACTTGCAGGTGCTCCTCCACACAAGGGAACTGTTTCCGCTCCACTCACTGGTGTTCACATGTAGCCCCCACGGTGTATGCCACGTGGTACCCGACCCTCGAGCACACGCTCATGTGCCTGTCCAAAGTCTATCGATACGTCAACGTACGTCTTCAAGACATCACTCGTTGGAAAAACAATTCGCGCTTGCCTGACGATGCTCCTGCGTGTAGATGCACATATTTGAAGAGCTGGCCCAAGACGCCGTCCGATCCTGCACGGCGACGCTCAAGATGGCATCGGCAGACATCGCAGTCAGTAAGGTATCGGTATATCCCTCACGGTCGTGGTTGAAGCAAAGTCCACAAGGGGAATCTGGATGGCGGGCTGTTCTTGGTCAAGCATCTTCTCACATTGCGCGAGCGCATCGCGCCGTTTGACATTCAGTTCTCTGTGACGGAGAAGAACTTGGACTTTACGTCGACCACGGGTTCGTTAGGGGCCTCTTGTGTACTACAAAGGTTTTGACAAGACGCGTAGATGCCGTGGGCAACATTCTGAACGGCACGATCTTGACCGATGCGTTTACTCTGTCCGTCGACAACTCGATCTTGGGACTCCTCACGCACGGCATCCCCCATGTACACACGACCACGTCGGATGTGAAGAAGGTGCAACGTCTACAACTTGGAAGCAAGTGACCACAACGGGTTTGCTTGTAGGACTTGGAGCATGAGCTCAAGAAGAGCTGCACCGTTTTTATCGAGCACGCCGTCCAGCATGTGACGGCCCCCCTCGCTGCGTGGCAGCAAAGGGTAACGAATAGAATGCACAGAGTGAACTTCACATGTGTGCATGAAGGCCAAGTCGACGATGAAGCAATCCGAACGCTCCCTGCGAACGTCCCTACCCCACGGATCACCTGGTACGAAGACTGGCAATGCCTATGCTAACCAACTGTAGATGCGATCCGAGCAATGTTAAAGCTGTTGGCGACGCATGTGGAGGCGCAACTACCCCTTGTCCATGACAAAATCCACGCATACTTGATGAATGCGTCCACGGAATCGATTTTGTTCAAGCCAATACAGGTACAACACTGTCAGAGAAAGTAACACCATGGATGTCCAAGAAGTCGCATGCTGTGCCGTCTGGCGACATATAATGCTGCATGAAGTGAACTGCATCGCTTCATGTACGGTTGTTTGTGTAGAAAGGGCTTGGCGATGTCGTCGAGCAATTCCAGGCGATTCTCGAGAAAGAATATAGTGCCGACGAGCGTGCTGCGTGCGATGGGGACGTTCAAGCCGTCCAGCACAAGATTCTTCAGTTCATGTAATAGAGTTCGTATCGTTCATTTGTCGAGACCAATTCTCTTCGCCTGGGCGGTGGAAGGCATCATGGCCATCTGACGTGTTTGACACGGGTGTGCTGACATTCCTGTGGACCTGCGACCTCCAGTGGCCAGGCATGACGCTGTCGGCAATCACATCGTCGAGTTGGTACAAGCCGTAGATACCAATTCCATCTCAGCGCTGGCGCAGCGCTGGTTTGCGCTGCCACACTTAGCTGCCATGATGGCGGCGTCCATCCTAGGTCCAGCACACCCCGAGAGACCAGCAAATGCCAAGGAACAGTGCGAGAACGTTCCACACACCACGGTACGAAAACTTCGCATCCACGTTTGAATTGGAACACCGAGCACATATGGCCCGACGCATTGCGCTCATTCATGGTTTGCGCCATTCGCCACCGCCCATCGAAGGTGCATTCCTCAAGTTATGGCCTCAAGCGAAGGTCGTCAACCTTCTGGACGACTCGCTAGCCTCAGACCTAGTCGCAGCGCAAGCTGGCACAACCGATGCGAGATTACTCGATCCATCCATTCTCGATCGCTTCCTTGCTCTTGGACGCTATGCTGTGTCCACCGGAGCTGATGGAGTTCTCTTCACGTGCTCCGCGTTCGGAGTGTACATTGATGCCGTCCGCGCGGACCTGCCTCCCCATCTTCCTGTGCTTAAGCCAAACGAAGCGATGTTGCATGACCTCGCCAAATTGCAGACCGGAGTTGCCCTCGTTGCCACGTTTGCCCCCACCTTGTCCTCCATGATGAAAGAAATCGAAAGCATTGCGCCACACGCTCGCGTCGTTCCCGTGCATGTACCTGGCGCCCTGGACGCACTCGACCGCGGCGACGGCATCCAACACGACACTCTCATCTTGGCCGAGGTACAAAAACTCCTTGCTCAGCGGCCAGACGTTCGAGGAGTCGCGCTCGCTCAGTTCTCCATGGAACGCGCACAGCCTCTGCTTGAGAAAACCCTCGGCGGTGTCACCGTACTGACTACACCCTCTGCCGCTGTGCGGGAGATGCGTGCCCGATTACCTTAGGTTCACGTCTCAGGGACAACGCCTTGGCAATAGCATTGGCCTTGACGAGTGATACGTTTTGAATTGATTGCTGCGGCAAGATGTGGGTGAATTCACCTGAAGAAGGTATCGAGATCTGCTGGTGTATTCCAAGCCCATGGGTTGCTTCCCACAGAGCTGGTCGAGCGACGCCTGCGCAATCCTTTCCTGAATGCAGAGGATGCATGAGATATGATTCCATGAGATCCGAACTCAATTTACAGACACATCGACATTCCAAAGCCACGCTTCCATTGCCCAAAGCATGCTGCTGGTACATTGTCTGCATTCCCTCAAGTTGTCGAAAGCCGTCAAGGTGTCCTGCGGCCGCGACAGCTTGGTTCACGAACTTCCTTGCCATTACAGCTACTGCTGCGTGCTACTGCCAGGAGCCATTCGTGGCTACGTCCAGTGTAAAGTAGGCATGCGAGGGCATTACCCCTTGGCGTAAGAATCACCCTTTCACGCAGCGAGCATGCACGCGAGTTGGCGCTTGAGCCCCGGCAATGTCAGCGCCAACACCATGTCGCCACGCACTTGGTATTTCACCGCAGCACTCGGGACGAGCACACTCCTGCCACACTCTCCTAGTAGTATTCGACCACCGTGGCGACCAGAAGCTTCGCACAAACTGGCGGTGCGGCCAATGACCCAGGGCCATTCTTGTTGCCAGCCCCTCAACATGTCCCCGTCAGTCGCCGTTCGATGTTAGCACGTACCACAGTTCCGACGGTAACGAAACGGTGAGTATGGCCGGGTTCCCTGTATTGGCGCCTGTGTGCGGCAGTCCCTTCGCATGGAGGAACGGCTCACGTGAGTTGCGACTGGTGTGGGGTATCTGCATCTTGTTCCTTGATGAATTTGGTGGCATCGTTTCAAGTGCCATTGGCAGCCAATCAGGGATCACAATTCAACCAGTCGGGCCAATCAGAACTCCTCAAACGAGTTTGAATTTTCAAACCGCTCATTTGGTCGATCGAGTGGCGGACGACTCGGCCAGCGGTTCCAATTGCATGCGAATCGCACGATATCTAGATCTACCGGTAGATGAGTGAAGGCATCCGCTGCGACGTGGAGATTCAAGTTGCCCTGACGGCCACCGGCCAAAACTCGAGGACAAAGCTAATCCGGAATGCACGCCTGTGCCAGCGCAAGGGTGGCTTGCAACTGTTTGGCGAACACTACAAAACAGCCATTCGCACGCACGGCGTTGAGCGTACGCGTGATTGAACTAGCAATCATCGGTTCAAATGTCGTGGTGTAGTGTACTTTAGCCATGTCCTGCGCGGGAAACTCACCTTCATTTGGTACACCAACGACAGTTTATGCTCACTACTGTACACTGACGGACCAACACAAACCAGGCGCGAGACATTGCGATACACTCAGTATAATTGTCACAATGGAGCTCCAAACGAGATGTTGCAGCTCAAGGAGTTTGCACTGACTCAAGGCGCGATCGCCAAGTCGCCTTTGCCGATTCTCCCGACAGCGTCCTCGGTCACAAGACCGCCGCTGCAGGACCGCACAAACGTAGCAACGACGTTGGTACCTGTGAGCCCACCATCAAAGCGACGACAGCGCACGTCGCCAGCCAAAGTATGACCGCTTGGCGGACCCACGGCATTCTGTGGTTCTCACGGGTTGCTCGTCTTAGGCGCGACAGCATGCCTCGCAGTACCTCACAGCAATACCGAAGCGAAATCGGGTATTAACACCCCAGCAAGCTCAAGTACGCATCCAATGCTTCCACCCATTTCATGGTCCTTCTACAGGTTGTCGCAGCCATCCAACGGAACGAAAACGTCTTCTTCACGGGGCGCGCTGGAACTGGAAAGTCCTTCCTCCTTGGCCACATTCAGCGCGTGGTACCGCCAACTGGCCTGTACTTGACGGCCACGACCGGCATCGCAGCATTTCACATTCGTGCGACCACTTGATTGCAAAAGTGCGGTTCACACATCGTGGGTTATATTGTAGACGGCATGACGTTGCATCACTTTGCCGGGCTCACTGCGATGGACAAACTGCACGTGCCAACGATGCTGGCCACCATTCAACGAAACAAGGACGCATTGTTCAGGTCTGTACACCCTGCTAAAGTTGGTTGGTAAAATTGATGGATGGGTATCGTCCAGGTGGACGCACGCCAGAACGCTTGTCGTGGATGAGATCTCGATGCTGGGTACGACGGCCATGCTCGCACAGGTTATGAAGCAACGTGGTCTAGATGGGCGCATGTTTGAAGCGCTCGAAGCAATTGCACGACAACTTCGGCAATCCACGCGATTCTTTGGCGGAATTCAGCTGATCGTATCAGGGGATTTTTACCAAGTCCGCAAACGAAATTCGTCTGTCGAAACGACCTATAACGGGTCGTTGTAGCTGCCGCCAGTCGCCCAAGATCGCCAGCCCCGCTTTTGCTTTGAAGTCGCAGCATGGCAACGGTACATTTGTGTGTGAAGCCTGTCGTCAGGTAGGGTGTGTGTTGACAGCGAGGAACGCGCAACTTGGTAGCGGCATGACCATCTCCATTTGCCTCGACCAAGTGTTTCGCCAACGCGACGCTGACTTTGTCGACATTCTCAACGCTATTCGCGTTGGCACCCATACATCGGTAAGCATTGGGACCGCTGGGCTAACGACGAGACGAAACATAGTGGCATTCGTAGGCCATGCTGGCGAAGCTCAATCAGCGCATGGGACTGCCAACCGCCGATGCAATTCATATTTTTTCACATAACGAAGATGTTTTCGCGGTGCGGTTTGCCATCGTTGCCATACCTTGATGTCGAACCAACCTACCTAGATGAACGAAGCTCGTTTGACAGCGCTGCAGGGCAAGGCCCACGAATACGCCGCTATAGACACGTACGAATATATTGCATCGAGGTCGCGGTTCATATCAATTGTTCCCTGTAATGTGTACAGAGGCGATCGCGAGTTGCTCAAAGGGTCGCCCATCTCGGCACGCATCCAGCTCAAAAGTACCGTCCCTCCTCGCGTGATAGAGTGCGATGGTTACGACCAGAGATACCCCGTCAACTGCATGATTGAGTGCTTATGTCTCAGGCGCTTGTGGATGGTAGAAGGTGTGATCGTGATGCTGACCAAATCCCTGTCCGTCGTAAATGGACTGGTCAACGGTGCGCGAGGCACGGTCCTCGGCTTCACGCGTGATACGCACATGCCTATTGTTCGATTCGATCACGGGATTTCCCAGCCCATGGTCCCGGAAACCTTTCCCATTATGGCGAACCACACCGTCGTTGCAGTGCGTCAGCAGGTTTCGTTCATATGCGTGACAAAAGTGCTTGACCATGGTCGTCATGTCCTGGTTAGCTCCCACTCACGTTGGCATATGCGATCAGTATCCACAAGAGCCAAGGACTCACGTTTGATCGCGCCGTGCTACACCTCGGCAAAGTGTTTGAATATGGTCAAGCGTATGTGGCGCTGTCCAGGCTTTCGTCCCTTCGAGGTGCGTTTCAGCCTTTCCTTGGTCGGCTGGTGGGTTAATCCAGATGACATGCGCTCGCGGCAGGGCTCACGCTGGCCACCCCCGTGACGCACAGCACAATTCGTGTCCATCCACGGGTGAGAGACGGCATGACGTCGTGACTGAAACATGAGTGTATAAGCGCGTCAAGCAGCCGAATATATCGCGTTGAGGATATTTCCCTGTTTTTGTATTTTTATGTATATCTGCGCCATCATATCCACGTAACCCGCCAATCAAACGTCAGAAAGTGAAATTTGCGGACCAATCGAAATCGCCCATCTGCGACGCGGGAATGCAATTTGAAACTTGGTGCTACGACGACGACGACGACCGCCCCAGCTGGCATTCGCTGCGACGTTGAGATCCAAGTGGCAGTGACAAGCCCGGGCCAAAGCGCTGGCAAAACCGTTAGCTCCAGTGTGTTGTGCAACGTCCTGTTGTGCAAGCGGAAGGGCGGACTTCAAGCAATCCATCAGGATTTCATGGCAGCGATCCGCACGGCTGGAGTAGAAGGTACCCCGTCATGCGACCACCTTGGTGGATTCACACTTGGTGGTGCAGTGTGCTTTGGCCAAGCCGCAAGCGGCAAACTTACCTTCGTTCAGTATGATACTGCACCGGTCCTGGCATATTCGTCTGAAACACTTGTAATCATGATGTTTGATGGATCATTCACGAATCATTGCAACCGAGAGTTCCAAAAGTGCACGCAGTACAACTTCTTCAATGGTCCATCTGCCGGCATGCTAGACATAAAAGAGTTTGCGCTGAGCCAGGGTGGCATTGCCAAGACCACCGCCAAGTCGTTCGTTGAAGCAAATTCCTTAGGCGAGAGGATTGTCCAAGTCAAGGCAAAGCGACCTGCAAATAGCTTTGGACCGCCAATTACATTGCCGCTGGCTAAGACACAGCGCACAACACCGTCCTCAGCCAGGAACAACACCGTACGGCTGCCTATGTTGTTGCCACGTGTGATACGACATGTGTAGGAAAGGATAACCCATGCGACCACTCCCTGCCAAACAAGCTCAAGTAAATTAGACTGAACATTTCATACCCGTTGATTGGCGGGAGGTCATAGATGCTACAAGCCGTTCAAAGGGACGAGAATGTATTCTTTACGGGACGAGCGGGCACGGGCAAGTCGTTCCTTCTTGGGCATGTCAAGAAGATCGCCCCAAAGCAAGGCTTGTTTTCGGCAGCCACAACGGGCATTGCGGCCTTCAACATTAGTACGACCCTTTGTGCCTCGCTCGTTTTTCCATTAAGCGAGACGGTGTCTGCCTTGGTAGATGGCATGACGGTGCACCACTTTGCAGGGTTTCCGCAAAAAAGCAACTCGATAGTTCAACATTGCCATGCTGATAGCCGCAGTTTCCAGGCCGTCATACAGTATTTTCGTTCTCCAGTAAGGTTCTGACTGTGATTAGTTGGCGCGATGCGGCTCTGCTAGTCATTGACGAAATGTCGATGCTTGGTAAGTGTTGCTACGCATATTGTGCGTGTTTGACGTGAACGAGCGACGTGACGTGAAGTTCATTCCCACCAGACGGCCAAATGTTTGATGCGCTCGAGGCCATTGCGCGGACGGTGCGGAAATCCAAGCTCTTCTTTGGTGGCAGTCAGCTCGTTTTGTCGGGCGACTTTATTCAAGTACAAATCTCTTGGTACAGTATGGTCATGGTATGCGCTGAAATGCCTTGCAAGTACCGCCCGTGACGAAGGGGCTCCAGATGTATTGATTTGAATCGCAAGCGTGGAAGCGATATGCCCGTGACATGGTTCATCTAGAAGAGGGAAGGAAGGGCTTCTCGAGCTTTTGTCGTCGTCATTCTGCGCGTGCATTTGTGTTGTATGACATCGTTGCTTTAACTTTGACTGGGATGCTTGCGTAGCGGGGTTGCGACGTCGATTTGTCTGGACCAAGTGCTTCGCTAGTCGGCCGACCCTGAGTTTGTCTCAATCCTGAACGCAATTCGCGTGGACAATCATACCCCTGTTAGTTCCTTGGATTTTAACGACGAGTTCTCGATGGAGCAATATGATCTTAGGGCATGGTCGCCGCGCTCAACTCGCGCTGTGTCGACAATCGCCGACACGCGTCAAACGATGCCATTCATATCTTTTCACACAATGCCGAAGTGACCGACGTGGTGAGATCTGGACATTATCGCTTGTTAATTCACACTGGTATGCTCCAGATTAACAACGCTAGTTTGGAAAACTCAGACGGTGATGTCCACGACTTTATTGCCATTGAAACGTACGTCCTGCTGCGCTCGAATCGCGGATCTCGGTGAATATGCGCTTGGGTAGGGGAGACAAGAGTTTGCTTAAGGGATCGCCGATTCCCGTTCGCATCCAGTTCAAGCGTAAGATAACTTAATTCTCGTGATAGCTACGGGCAGATAATGCCAAAAATGCAGAGGGCGCTCGCGTCATGCTGACCAAGAATATATCCGTCGCGGCCGGCCTTGTCAATGGCGCGTGCGGCGATGTACAACCTCGGATCTTGCTTCAAGAGACTTCCATTCGGGCATGATTGGCGTTGTAAGTGGTCGGGTTTACTTCTGGCACGAACATGCCGATCGTGAGTTTTGACCATGACACATCCCAGCCTATAATGAAGGAAGTCTTCAGCGTGATAGCCAACCACACAGTCGTGGCATCCCGCCAACAGGTGAGTCACCTACACGTATTTCCATCCCATACCTTTTCGCGACGACGAATGTGATCATCGGTGCAGGTACCTCTGACGTTGGCCTACGCCATCAGCATCCACAAAAGCCAAGGGCTCACGTTTCACTCCGCTGTGCTGCATCTTGGCAAGGTGTTTGAATACGGTCAAGCGTACGTGGCCCTGTCTCGGCTGTCGTCGCTAGCAGGTACTGCACCGAGACAAAATTCGGTCCTCGGCTTCATGCACGTTCCGGTATGGCTGACATGGCGTTTTTGTGTGCAAGGGCTCTTCATCGCGGTGCCTCTGACGATGCGAGTGCACCCGCGGTTGCTGGCAGCGGACTCTCCCTTTGCTTAACGTAATGAATGCATTCGTGGTGACTTTTTGACAGTTACACGATGAAACGGCCGAACGAAACGCCCGCCACGGCACACTTCACACATGACGGAAGAGAGCACAGACGCTGGCGCCGAGGCGTACCAAGCGTACCGAGAAAAGTCGAATGCGACGATTGCAGCCCCTAATGGACCTCTCTTGCGTGTGGTATGTATCGCATCTTGCGTCGTCACAGTACTGTCGTTGTCGAGTGCCTTCTGTGGCAGTTGTCATGCTGATGTGTCTGCTGACGTGTCCACGATTTCCAACCCGATGGCGACAGATGCAGTCCAATCCTTGCATAGATTCGACCGCCCAACGGCCAAGAGATAGACTCCAAACGCACCGACTTGATTGTGACCGCCGAGGAGCTGCTCAGTCACGACATGGACGAGCTCAAAGAGGCCACCCACGTTCGCAACGTCGAAATCCAAAAGCACTTTGTACGTACAAGTGCATCCAGTCCACCCTTGACCGGGCGAGACACTCCAGGACGCCATCAACGAGCGTAGTCGGCACTTCGAAGAAAAACTAAGTGCCGAGATGAAAGCTCGCGACGAATCCATCGCGGCTCTCCGCGCAGGGTTCACAGACGCGTTTGAGAGTGCGTTTGCCGCGATGGCGGTCAAGGCGTCGGATGCATTCCACGTCCGGCTCGACGAGACAATCCTGGCCCAAGAAATGCGAGAGGACAACGTGCAGGTCCAATTCAACGAATTCATCAACGTGACAATTCCCAGCATTATCGAGGCGCTCCAAGGGACGATCACGAGGCGGCTGGACAAGTCCCACGAGACCTTTGACATTGATAACACCAAGTTGCTCAAACGGGAGAAGAAAATGACGAACCAAGTCGAATCCCATGAGCGGAAAACGGCGCAGGCGTTTGTGGACGAGAAGGAGCGGCGGTCGACGACGTTTGTGGCGTTGCAGGAAGAGATGCACACCACCATGCGCACCGACGACCGACAGGTAAGGCGACCCCACAATGGGAGTATCAGCATCAAGGGGAAGGACTCGACTTTGTGGGAGGCTCTAGTGGCGCGCGTGAGCTGTTGGAGAGCTGTCCACCGCTGTGGCCTCCCACCATGCCTGTTCATTTCGCAGTCACATCGATTCCCTCACTCTTCGGCTAATGTGAGGGCGTATGGTTGCTTGTGCTAGGCTGAGAAGAAGCAGAGCGGCATGATTGAGACGATTGTGGCGCTGACGAGTCAGTATGATGAAGTGCGACGGGTGAGGGAAGCGGAGGACGCCGAGCTGCTCGAGAAAGTGTCAAGTGCGATGGAGCGGCTGCACACGAGCATCTTGAGCTCGTTCGGAGAAGAAAAGGAGGGCGTCGGCGACACGTGAGGTTTACAAATGGAGACTCTGGCATCGATTCCACATCATCTTTTTATTCTGCGTCCAGACGAATACAAAGGCGACGCTTCCTGCTACTGCGGCCACGACGACGTCGGTAGACAAACTACCTACGCCGTTCTGTCGCTGCACCCAACGGTAGATCGCTCTTGTGTTCACTCGAACAACCCAGACAGATTCAAAGTGATGACCGCTTAGTTGGTGGCAGCCTTCTTGGAGACAGCCTTGCCACCTAGATCGAGGGATGAGGTGGCCCTGCCCGCCGTAACGGCATCTAAGGGTACCTTCACGGAAACCGTTCTTGAACTTGCGGGGGACGGTCTTCAAGTAACGCATGCGACCGGTACCAGTGGTGCGGCGGCGGAGAGCCTTCACAGACCAGTTGTACTTGCGCATCTTAGCGGCGGGGTAACCACACGAGCCGCACGTGGACTTTTGGATGTGGTAAGAAGACTTGCCACAGCGACGGCAGATCGTGTGGGTCTTGTTGTGGCGCTTACCGTAACTGGAGGTACCTTTGGTCTACAAGCACGACACACAAGACGGGATGAGCGTTCGGGTATTCGTTGAGCCTGTTATGCCTTCCAGTCGAATCCGTCGTATCGTGCGTTCGCATGCAGGTACGATCATGAACTTCACATCCACGCGAAGCCAACATGACGCCCGTGCGTACTGCGGCACGCAGACCCGGCACTCTGTCGACTCCACTTTCCCAGCACACCTCGGTCGCATCAACGTACCATTTTCAGAAGATGGGTTGGGAATCCGAGTGAGTAAAGTGGTCGGGAATTCGCCCACGAGGTTTCCACCAGTCAAAATGGCCATCGTCTCGGCTCCCTACACACCAGTCAACGGAATCGTCCAATCAATGACGAAACTCTCAAACTTTATAATGACACCTTGGAAAAGTGGCCAATCAACTCGGGTGGAAACGTTGGAATTATATCCAATCCAAATCGACGGATACCTGCGACAATGCATCTCCTGTGAAAATACGATAACCGTGTTGTATTGTAACCCCGTCTGTATTGAATTCTGGAGACGATGTTGGTGCCGCCGTTGCCCGCCGACGTCGACTGGGAAGGGCTGTCATCCCTCGCCACGGCCCCCTCTGCATTGCATGCACTTTTGCGCAACTCCAGTGTGGTGCTGGACGTACCTGTGTCGGTAATGGGCCAACCACCGTTGTTGTTTGCAGCGTCCATGTACGACGAAGACATGGCGATCCTGGTGTGTTGATTCTGCAACACATGCGCAGGGAACGCAGACTCATGTACGCTACGTCTAGATCTTGTCACAGAGACAGCGCCTCCATGTTGACGTCAACGCCGTGGATAACCATGGGTTCACGGCGCTGCACTATGCTGCAGACGCCGACGCAGTCGACTTGGTACGCGCGTTGTTGCAATGCGCTGACATTGACTTGCATGCCACGTCAGAAGATTTATCAGTACTAGGACACGTCGAAAGTGGAGGGCGAACCCCATTGCATCTTGCTGTCATTCGTGGGAACCTCGCTATCGTTCAGATGCTTGTCGACCATGACCCAACTGTCCTGGTGGATCTCGATTGGGACGAGAACTCTGCTGCACATCTCGCCCAGTTGCACGGTCGCTCGTCGATTGAACAATTTCTTTGGGTATGAAGGCGCCCTGTCACTGCCCTTCTCTCCGATCCCATGCTGACATGGCGTAGACTCGATGCTCGAACAAGGCACAGTGGCCGTCGTTGTCGACAGTAGGTCTCGATGAGCTCAGACGTACGCAACAAACTGCTGCCGCTGCCCGATACACTGCGAGCCTATCGGTATGTCACCGGTGCTGAATCTCCCCAGGTCATAGCTCAATTGCCGCAGGTTCCACCGACCTTGGACAGAGTTCACGTGCTTCGGAACATCTTGACCCCGGACGAATGCAATTTTGTCGTTCATGCGTTGACAGCACACACGGATCGCGTCGGGTGGCAGACTAAGCGGCACACGGCGTATCCAACGACGGACTTGCCCAGTTACTCCCTCCCCCATATTGACGTGTGGATGCAAGCAAAGTTGCGGTATTGTTGTGCAGAGTTCAAGACAGACCTTCTCACATGCACCATCGCGTCACGTTTAGCAACCGACTGTTTCCTGCGATCCAAGCAGCATACGGCTTGCCACCGACGGCGTTGCTATCGTTTCGGGATCTGTTTTACGTCAAGTACGAAAAGGTCGAGGCATCTGCCACGGTTCAGAACTCGTTGGGGCTGCATTGCGATGGCTCGATCTTGTCATTTAACGTGCTGCTGAACCGCCGGGACGCGTTTGTGGGTGGCGGAACCTACTTTGCCGCTACCAACTCGACAGTAAGATGCATTCTCGAACGAGTTGTCGGCGGAAAATCACCGTGCCATGGTTCAGGTGCACATTGAACAAGGGGACGCTGCAGTCCACAGTGGCCGAGTCGTGCATGGAGCAGCCCCAGTGGAAGCTGGGAAGCGGCTTATCCTCGTGGCATTTCTCAACGTCCGTCAACGTCGAAAGAAGGAATAGTGGACCATCGCGCGTCCTGTCAAGCTTTGGCCAAGACATGGATGGGGCTGGCAGTTTGTAGGCACGGGGACTTGCTGTGAAGCATACCTTTCGCCTGCCCGCATCCCCTGCCCCAATGCATCGGCTGTAGCCTACTCTTCATGCTTTGGTCAAGCAAATTCAACCCCCCGTTGTTCTTGTGGCATACTTGTCCTGGAATTTCGCACTGAGCCCATGACGCCAACATCTCGATTGATCGCGACTTTTCAAGATGTTACACGTGGCCATGCACCTCGCCAGGGCTACGCTGCCCACACGAATGTTAAGCTGGCCATGGCTCGGTCGAATCGATGTCGATTTGGCATCCGCCTCAACGTGCTGTCGTGGGTCGGCATCATCATTGTGTAGTGTCGTGCACAAACAGGAGGGCGTGTGTTCCATCGCGGCCACTTGCTCGGTGCACGAGGAGGTACAGCGTCAGCAACGCAAACGCCAGCACCAGCAACGACAAGTTGTAACCCACAGGGAGGCCCCTTTCGACTTGCATGGACAAGTACTCGCCGAGCGCAGCTTCGTACACCACGCGGCGGTCCGATTCCATTTTCAAGTGGGCGCCGAAGACCCAATGCACCGGTCGGTCTGCCAGATCGTCGTCAATACAAGGGAAAGCCAAACACACGATAAAACGTGCGCAAGATGTCTCGAATCGTAGTATCGTACCGTGGATGGACTGGACGTAGAGTATGCGTCGTTCGGCATCGGTTAGCCCCAGTTGCTTGAGGAGGACGGCAATGTAGCACAGGTTCAGGCACGTCCAAGGAGCCGACGCCTTTGCTGCTGCAGAACTGGCTTCGTCATGCTTGGTAGGATCGAGCAATGCGGTCGACACAACTTGAAACGACAGGCCACAAACGGCGTTTGCAGCCTACGTGAAAGCCAAGTGAGCTCCAGTCCAACCAAACGGATTGTGAAGCGGCGCAGGAAAGGTCTCGCGGTGCACCTTCTCCAGTTCGTAGCGAGAAGGAGTGGGAAGATCCAACTGGAGGGACGGATGGGTCGCTGCGACCACCGTGTTGGCCAGCGAGGCCATCTGAAACCAGTCGTGAACAGCGTAGAACGTGCCAGTGGCATGAGGTTGCTCCTGCATTTGGTCAAATGTGAGTGCGCCACGTCGTCATACGATGCAAAGTACGTAGGAAAGGAGCACGCAATGCTCGCCTTTGGTGCAGTTTTCGTTTCCCGTGGCCACGATCGATTCGATGAGCGCCATGCATGCAGGTCCGTCTCCAGCTACGACGGTCGGCGAGCCCTCGCTCGTCTGAGAAACGAATGGCGCAGGGGAGCCCGCAAACAGACATGGATTATGCGTTCGATTCGTGGCCTCCACGGCGTGTTGGACCTACGATCCCATCGCACCCGTTGAGCCTTTCATGGCACCCGCCAACTCTAATGCAAGATGCGCTCGGGACAGCTTTACTCACTTGATCATGGATAGCCGACGTGCCAGTGTTGGCAAACGTGTGGACGAAAAACTCCGACTGCTGCAATGGCGACAGGCGGTACGACTTTTTGCGAGCGCTGTGGCGCCACCGCTGTTCGATGTCCATGCTTATGCGAAAGCTCGACGGATCCTACGCGGGATAGCCTTGAGCTCGAGAGCCACACAAGGAGAAAAAAGGATGCACCACACCAGGTCCAGAACACCGTACACTTGGACGGACGTGGGCTGCATGTCCTTCCCTACACGCTTGTCGAGAAAGTTGGCGGCCACCATCAAAAAGTAGTTTTGCTCGTCTTCAGATAGCGTGCGTAGGTGAGAGCGTTCTAGAATAGTCCGTGCATGCGGGCAGCTGTCCAAGCGAAGGAGCGAGATGTCGTACCGAGGGGGGGAAGGCTGTTGACGGAGGCGTCAGCTGCATACGACGCAAAGATGGCATCGTAGATGTCTGATTGGCGCGCTTCGGAAAGCTCTCTCATTCCAGATGTGCCGATGATGTACAGAGGGCACTCTGGTCGAAGCCGCTCGTCCATGTGGCGTGCTGAGAGCTACTTGCAGGTCGCATGAAGCAAACGACGGTGGACGAAGTTGTTGTACCTCATGCAGGGCCTCCTTCAAATGCGAATATGCATCTTCTGGCGCCAAGGTGTGCAAGCCTCGTGAGATCATTGGCAAGGGACTGGACACGACGAAATCGTTCATATCGCCTTCGCTTGGAGTCACCACGAAGAAGACTATGGAGGCAGGACCTGCTTCAACCACAACGCGGCATTCCGAGCTCGGAGGCGGTGCAGTTGTCAGGGAGCTAACCGCGGCCACAACTTCATCGGAAAGGAGCAATGCCGCGAGCACGAGGCATCGCCACAGCCATATCTCCGTCAACGCTGAAGTCATGTTGCTCGTGTTGTTAATCGGTGCGAATTAGTGCGAAATTACCTAATTTCACTAAATTTCACCAGAACTTTCCTAATTTCATTGGATATCACATTATTCTTCAAATCGCCGCAAAACGTCCACGGAGGTTGGTCGTCGGTATGATGGAGCATGGATAGGGAGCACACCAAAAGCTACGTCGAATTGTGGTGATGTGCGGGCTGTGCACGATTGTACTCGCTCAGGTCTGCGCGGTAGTGGTCCAGGTTGTTGTTGAGCGAATCTGTGTAGAACTACAAGGCCCACGGGCTATCATTTCCAGGACTGTGGGCAAAGAGACTAGCACGCACCCGCATTTGAGGCACGAGCATGCCATACGATGTCCAGAGCGGCTGCAAGACGAAGCAGATGAAGTTGGACTGCACACTAAGCCGCGTGGCTTTGGACTCGAGGTTCTCCATGAACGGCGCGACAGGGAGGTGCATGTCCGCTTCTTCTCGCGCTTGATTCTGAAACTCGTCAAGCGCGCGATCGCCCCACTTGGTTGCGAGTTTGTAAGGCAGAGATTGCGCACTCAAGTCAGACGCGTGGACGATCAGCTCCATCACGAGCATGCTACGGACGCGCGCACATCGTCATCATCAAGACGAAAGAGAGGTTGATACTAGTCGAACCGATTCGACGGGTCTTGAAACTGGTGCCGCGACATGTTCTCGAGGGCTTTGCACTGCGTGAAGTGGTTCGCCATGTCGGTCGCCATGATGCAGCGGATGATCGTTCGGCGGATGGACCGGAACGCTTCGGAGGTCAACTTTTCCAGGATGTTGGTGGACGGCGTGTTCAAGATGAGGAATGTCACTCGGCAGTGATGGCGCTCAAGCACCGCGTCGTCATTATGCGTCAACGCGATCGAGCTCACGCACTTGACTTCAAAGTCGTTGTTGTTGCCGGGATGGTCCACATCTATGCCGATTCGTCATGCCACCTTTTGCCCTCGACATCGTTCAGCCAAACATGCCATGGACCGCCATGTACACCACCACACCATCGCGCCCCCGGCGACCTTTCAGTCACTTCCGTACACTCTATAGACTTCGTTGAAAGAGCTGGCAAATTGTCAAAAGCGTCGACACCAACAGAGGCGGTCAACTCGGCCCATGGGCCACATCATTCAAATACGACACAGACACGGAAACATCACAAGCGAACGAGGCAAACGACATGGAGTGGCAACAGCACATGGAGTCCGGCCTCACACTCGCACGAATGTCTCGAGCCCTTTCTGTGGGTCTGCTTGAGACCAGGGTCATCTGGGCAACATGCATCTCGTTTGCACGCCCAGTGGTAACGACTGCAAGGGCTTCTTTCGTACCGTGGCAAATAGCGGCAATCATGAGCGCAAAAATGTCCAAGCCGGTCAGGAGCTTGCGCATGTACACTTTGAGTTGGATGTGCGCGGCATGGAGGACTTGGAAGGCGTGATAAAAGTTGTGGTACGAATTGGCGCGGTAGTGCTGGGCCACCGACGCCACGAACGACTGCATCTTTTCTTGGGGAATCGCGTACGTTTCGACAAATCCGTACGCGCGGAAGATGGTCTGCACGCTCTGGATCACTTCCGTGAACGAAAACGACAAGATGTCGAGGTCCCACGAGTCGAGTTCAGGGCGCTGCGTCATCTTGACCTCATGGGCAAACACGTCGTCAGCAACGCGGCGGTCGCTGTCGAGCTTGTTGGTCATGATCCCGCTCGTGTTTCGGCTGTGCTTCTGGAGCAGCGACGAGATAATGCCTGCTTCCGTGACTTCGGTCGATCCCGACAGGTTGCGGTCACTCACAACCTAGATGACGATGCCGCTAAAATCGCCGTGGGCATGACGCACGAACCTTGAAGTAGCACACTTCGAGCGACATTTGTCCGAGAGCGTATTGGATTTCTTTGCAGTACCGCTGCATCGTGAGTTTGTCCTGCGAGTTGAACGAAATGACCTGGGACCCCTGCAGCTTGTTGATGCACATCGCGACCGCAACGACCTTGGGCTTGCTCTGGACGTGCTCTTCAAAGACTGGCATGCACAGAACGCTCGTTGTGCGGTACCCTGTCAGGTTGTCGTGCGTCGGGTCGAACAGCGAGTGTGTGTCTACTCAAAGCGTCGTCAAATGCTGCTGTGTCCACTCAACGGCGTACACGCGTCGCGGGTGCACACCGTGTCGCCGGTCGTTGCCACGAGGCCGCTAATGCCTTTGTAAATGGGCTGGCGAAGCGTGACTTGGTCGCCCAAGTTGCCGTTGTTGGACGTGATCCAGAGCTCGTTCTTGAGATGGTCGACGAGGAGAAATCCGAATCGATCGCAGTCCTACTCCGCCCATTTCATCTTGGCAACCAAGAGCGCGATGGCAAACAAATCGCTTCGACATACCATGATCGCTTTGCCATGCACCATGATCAAGTCCGTGAGGCTGTGAATGTCCGAGTGGTTTAGCACATAGTCGGACAGTTTGAGCCGCACGTCTGTGAGTCGCTTCGCAATGATGACTTCGTTGTGCAGATACGATTTGTGCAGCGAAATCCCCGCCGCCTAACACTCCATGAGCATGATCGTGTCATCAACTCGCATCGCGTCGTCCGCTTGAACCCGAACAAAAAAGGTAACAAGCACCCGACCTCGGCGATGTAGTTGAGGAAAAGCGTGTCTTCAACGGAAAAATCCGATCGATCGATCTTATTAACGGCCTGGACAACGGCCAAAATCGTGCCGTCGGGGTCTTTCACAGGCACGCACAAAAGTTTCTTGGTCGAGTGGCCCGTCCGCTCGTCCATCTCCTTGTCAAAGCATGGATGCTCCTCCACGTTGTTGGTCGTCACGGCTTGCCCTGGTCGAAGACTCACGTGAAAATCGCACTCCCTTCGTAGCACTTGAAAGCCTCACGCGACTCAAACCTCCAACCCCTCCAGGAAAATGCGTCATTCGAATGCACGACACACACGCACGCTGGAGCGTGCGAAAGATGCATCGAGAGATAGCACGGTACTGGCACGCACTCGACATTCAAAGCCATCCGATCCGCACGTAGAACCCACACAAGGTCGTCAAGTGGAGTCCCCACCTGTTCGCGCCACGAGGCCGGCAATGCCCTTGTCGATGGAGATGTACTGACCGCGCGCCGCGTCGTTGGCATGGGCGACAAAGAGATCGTTTTCGCCCTGGATTTTGACGAACAGACTCACGCGCTCACAGTGAAGGAGCTCGTAGGACACGTCCATGATCTTTGCGAGGACAGCAGCCGAGTTGCTCTCGACAGCAATGCTGCGGTTCAGCCGAAGAAGGATCTCAATGCGAGACTGGGCTGTTTGCCGCTCTCTCGACAGTCGCAAGTTCCACATCTAACGCAAGAAACGCCACAGGAAACAATCGTCGTCAACTGCCCAAGTGCCACGAGAGAGACACGTACCGCCGACCCTGACACGACACACAGATGCTCCAACCTGCAGAGAAGCAAACCCAACAAATCAGTCATCGCCGTCATGATTTATGGCGGTCTCGACGCACCGCTCTTTATCCAGTGCTGTAAAGACCTGGTTTTGCATGTATTCGTCCGAGTGCTGCCGCTGGGTCACAACTTGCAAGGCGCCTACACACAACCATTCGCGATTCACATGCAAACGCCACCAGAATCAACATTGCTGTCGACATTCTCGCTCAGCCAATGCGGCACAACACCAACGAGCGTACCCAAAATACTGCCATGGGCATTGCGAATGGGCATGCACAGCACCGAGTGTGGAACGAAATCCAAGTCGTCCATTTGCGATTCAAACATGCCCGTCGCCGTCGCCTGCAGCGCATCAAACACGGTGCCCGTCTACAATCATGTCATCGTCCAACATTGCGCTTGGGCCAACAAACCATCACGACATGACCAAACGTAGTCGTGTTGTCGACCGGCATCGTGCCGTCGTCTTGGAACCCACCATACTTGTTGTGGCGCTCCTCGCCGGCGGCGGCCAGGGTGAGAACCCCCATCGAGTACAGCATCATGGACGTGTTGCCGTCGTTCGTGAGGGCCAGTGAGTACATGCGCGCAGACACGAGATTCCGCGCTGCATTCAACGTTGACGACACAACTTCGCGGTGGGCCGTCTGGTGGGTGATAGCTCGGGTCGCTGCGATCAGCGTTTCCAGCTAGAATCGAGCGTGACTATCGCGCTTGAGTGACACACTCATGTGGACGTGCCTCGTTCGTTTTCCCACGCAGTTTGTAAATCTCTTCGTCCTTTTTCATGTGATCTGCGGACGACGGCGTCGCGTCGTCGCCTCCATTGCGCTTTGTTTTGAGGACCTGCAGCGTCAAATTCTTAAACTTGTGTGATGCGCTTGACGCAGGCGCTTTCGCAGAGGATTGCATCGCGACTTCCGTGCGCATTTGTTGATCTGCGAGTTGCCGCTCGAGCGCGAATATGCGGCCGCTCGCTTCGTCCAGTCGTTGCTGGAGCAGTCGTTTCTCGCTCATGAGGGACTTGGTGCCTTCGACTACATTCTGGAGAATGTGCTTTGGCACCATGAGGTGCAGTCCTTCCGTCGGGCTTGACATGACCAAGCACTTGTTGCCGGCGGATGCGGCGGCACACGAAGGGTCAATTGTTCGACTTGCGGTTACATGGTAATCGCCACCTGGTTCTTTTATACAGGAAACAACATACATTCTCTCGATGCCATGCAATTTTGGTGTGTTTTAAACTTCCCATATAAAAAAGAAACGCGTACAACCTGCATTCCATTTAAAACCACAAAGTACTAACCAAGTTCAATCTCTACACACATTTTGCTAGAGCGCGACGGAGGGCGACGCCCGTGGAGTGGTCGTGCTGCGGGGCAAAACGGCGCTGCTGCTCATGGACGGCGTTCCTTGTGACGAGGACGATGCAGAGGAAGGCATGGACATCGACTGCGACATCGCGTAGCGCGCGGCCGACATGGCGGCCATGCGATTCAACCCGTTTGCAGGGCTACGCCGTCCAGTCAATACAAAAGACACGAAACCAATCGCCCTACCTCATCGCAACTTCTTCCAGCGCATCGTACAGAGGCTGCGCTGCGACGGGTGGTCGCTCTAGACAATATCCATTCGAATCAAAAATGCCATGGGACGCGTTAAGTTCGCACCTCGACCCCCCAGCAGTTCGGCGGCGGTCACGTCTTTGCCGTAAAACTCACGGTTCACGTCGGGCCGAGCCATGATGACCGACCCTTCAAGCGAAATCCCAATGAAGAGCCCCTGCACGCCAACTATGAGCATTTCCTTGACAGGGGGTTTCCAACCAACGTGCCTTTGAATGCGAGTACGAGTAGCAGGGAGCAATGCCGCCAGGACCTAGCACCCTCGATGCTTATGTTTTTTCTAGTCTTTCGGATATGGTTTACCTGCTTCGACAGCTCCAGCCGCAACGCGACCGACTGGTCCAGCGGCGACACCGAGTTCAGCTCCAAGGTTGACCTGCCCTTGGGCACAAAATGTGTCGACTGCGGCTGCGAGAGTGCATTTCGTGACGAAGGCATGCCATCATACATGCATGTAACTGTTAAAACACATGACAAGTGTACCTCGGGTGTTGAGAATCATGACAAAGTCCGTGACTTCACCTCCAACTTGGGCGCCCCACCCAATGCCAGCGGTGGCAATAGCGGACGGTGCCGACCTGGATTCGAGTGATTTGACAGACAAAACACAACAGCATTCGTACCAGGAACCGTCAGGAAGCTTCGACAACACGAGGCCAGTGCCAAGGCGGCCCGTGACGACAAAGCCAACTTTAAGGACAGTGAGAAACTAGAGCTGCGTGAGATGCACTCGCAATGCAGGACAGCGGTGACATACAGCAATGCCTTGCGCATTCGTGAGCAGCGGGAGAGGAATCGACTGGTCCTTGATCACGCCTTCCAGCATGAAGTTTTTGATGCTGTACGCAGCTTTGCGCACTTCTTCGCGCAACGTGAACGAGTACGGACTGTGTCGAAGCACGAACGATGGTAAGAGCATGTATTGAGCCGCATTAGACAAGTCATGCGCCATCGTACCTGTTGAAGAAGCGCTTCGACCCCGTTTCATTGATGGAGTTAGGTTGCACCGCATTGCTCGCCGTCTCGCCTGCACATCAGGTCATGGGAATTTCAAAAGCTACGAGGGAGGAAGATCTAAAAAACTTACGCAATATGGCTTGGTCGGGTAGGAGAATATGGTGGCACGGCTTGCAAACGCGCTGGGGACTAAACGCGTTGACGGACAGGTACCTCTTGTTTGGAGATATCAAGATCTTATCCTCGTGGATCAAGCTTCGATGGGGAGTGCAGTCGTCACAGAACACTTGCCCTATGTTTCCTGTCATGACGATGCGTGGAGCGTGAATGTGCCTACCGCAATATCTATCGAGATTTGTACATACATGAGCATCGACAATTCAGGTATGGCTCTGATGGGACGGACCTGCAGTGGTGCTTTCTGCGCACCCAATCGAAGAGCAAACCACAAGACTTGCACAGTGACACTTCTGCGTCCGAGATCCATCGAATGGTCGCCGACGGCATTTTCTTTTCAAAGAGCTCCACCTCTGGTCCTGCCATCGTCGCTGCTGGCGCCACAGGTGCCTTGGACAAGTCTTCGCTTGCCATCATTACGTTGCAGAATCCCGTACTAATTCAGAACATGGAAAGTTAGCAGAATTGTACGACAAGGATACGAGCCATCTCATTCAAATAAAATGAAAAACTTACTTGATATTTATATAATGAATTTGTCCTTTGAAATAAAACCCCGCGTACGACAACGTGTTTGTAAAAGAAGTTAGTACGGTTTAGCTTGACTAAAATATGCAGTGAGTTCCAGTTGGAATTCGATATTCGACGTGATCTTCCACCGCTGCCGAGACGGAAAAAGCCCGGCGCCACCGCGCTGCGGTCATGCAGAAGCGCTGCATGGACATTCCAAGGGATGAATGGCGTCAAGATGTTAAATATCAGGTCTTTTTCAAAGGCATGACAAACCGGAACGGGATCTTGTACTCAGAGATGGTTCCAACTTCGTCCGCATCGTCGTCAAACCGTACGATCACATACAAGCACCCCTGCATGAACAACATGGCGTGCATGTGAGCAAAGCGCACAAAGTCAAGCGGATGAGCGTACCGGTGGATTGGGCACAATTACGACCGCAGGATAGAAGCTAGTCGTGCTGGGATACATCGCCATGACGCGTTCGTTGACTCGGAAGTTAATCCACTCATCGATTTGGTCTTCACGCGGCAGAGGTACTAGCCAGTCGCGAGGGACAACGTGGTGGCGCTTCCCCTCAGTCTCTTCGTCACCGGAATCTTCGTCTTCGACCTCGACCATCCTGTCATCGGCCTTCACGACTGATGCCAAGATCCACAATTCGTGGCCGCGAGCGACACGTGCAGCAACCTGCGACCCAACTTCAAGCGACACGGACGTACTCTGCGCGTCGGAGAGACTGTGTCGTTTGTTCTCTCGTTCTTTGAGTCGTCCACATTTCTGCTCCTTCTCGATGATGTCGATGCACGCAGTCAATTCGATACGCTGCTTGTGTAGTTCCATACAGCTTTTTTCCATCAGTTCCCGAAGGGTTGGAGCCCATCGAGCGCGGGTTGCTGCCATCTTGGCGTCTAGCGCAGCTTCATCGACGGCGCCTTCGATGCTGAGGAGTGCGAGGAACGACTTTTCTTTCTCCCTCAGCTTTGCATACACACGACGGATCTGACGGGCTAACGAGTCCATTGAATTGTCGATCAAGTGACTCCGAATGATCTCATTCAGCGCCGCATCTGCATCCACATTCGATGGAATCTCCATGTTGGTTCCCAAGAATTGCATGCGCCGTGGCACTCCTTTATCCGAAAAGGGGGATATCCGGATGTTTTTCAGTTCGATGTCCGAGCAGGCCATTCAGGTACATGGACCGCTCGGTCCGTGAAGGGCACGGCCAGCTCCACACTCTCGACTACCGTTGCGACGCAGAACTCAACGACAGGGAGAGATTAATCAGGTATTCATGGAACTGGAAGCAAGAACGACAAGAGCAACTCGGCCGCATCGACAACCTCCACGATGCCGTCGGATTCAGCTGTGTCGCGCATGGTGTGAACTGCAGCTCGAATGGTGCTGATAACTTGCAACGGAACGTCATCAAGTCCAAGGGCAAGTCGTGCACGGCAGATCTGGACCTGATGCATCAAGACGGGTATGTCTTCCTCTACCATGGGCACTGCTGCAAAACTATCGGCACATGACGCAAGAAACTCGATCCAAAACGTCGCAGGCAACGAATTCAATGCAACTGGCGCCGCTGTGCTGTCTTCCAACAAGATGCAGAGAGATTCAAGCGAAGAATCTCGCAATGCCAGCGCTCCGTCGGTCACGACCTCAAAGAAGGCTGGTGCAATCGAGTCCTACACATGATGTCGTTTGAACAATGTTGTTCCACCATCGAAAACGTACATCGAATGGCGCGATGCAGTAGAGGCGGGTGAGGGCGACTGCAGTCGCGCTGCGAACTCCAGATGAGATTGCCTGCACATCCAACAACGTTTTGGCTAGCACCGGCACATGTGGCTTCAGGTCGACGCCAGCACCGACGGCAATTTGGGAAACGCCTTCGACCATGCGCACTGCCAGGGTCTACACACGGAGTCACGAGAGAGTTGAAGTCACAGTGGGAATTTCCATAGACGGCACGTGTCAGCCACCATGATGTCGAATCAAGCCATCATTTATTTCACGCCATACTTTCGAGTATCGTTGGCTTTGACGCAGTCCCTTGGTCAACACTGTGACGACGTCGGCCACCTTGGACGCGTATCGGTCCACTTGGTCGACATTGTTGCGATCCACAGGTCGCAGGACCTTCAAAAAGTCGCCAAAGATGAGTGGATCGGCCACTTTTACGGCCACGGTGTGGAGAAATGAAAATTCCGTCTCCAAGGACCAAAAGTCTGTGCCCATCACGTGCATGAGTGCCACGTAGCACTACTTGAGCGATGAGTTGGGCTTGCATCAAGATGAAAAACGACTCATGTACCTCGATTCCGGAGTCACGGATGTCCGCGATGATTGCTTTGAAGCCGCGAAGGCTTTTGTCTTTCGCAACGTCCTATGTGAATGCACTTTCAACACACCATGCCCTGTACAAAGCCAAATTGTACCCCAATGAATGCAAAAACGTCTTGGAGCACTGGCACGACCTTCATAAACGGAGCCGCGACGTCGTTTATTTCACGTTTGGGCTGGAACTGCATGTGGCGCATGAGCAGATCTCGCAACGATTCGACGGCTGATGACATGTGCTCGAGCTTGTCGATGGTACTCCCCTCACTTGTAGCAGCTTCGCCGAGCCTAAACACTCGATGGAATACGAATTGACATCACTCACGTTTCGAAGCACGAACATGGTAAGGATGTGCAGAAAGTAGGCGACAAAGCAGTCTGTCGAGGCTTCGCACGGCAGATCGTAGGAAGCCGCGGCGTACAACGACGGCAGCACACACAGCATGGACTTCATGGCGGCAGAAGACGTGTAGAAGCGATGCCACTCGTCTTTCGACATGACATGTAGTGGAAGTAGCGGGGATGCTTCGACTGGCAGCAACGGAGTGGCGAGGAGAGATCGCGCGGAAGGAAGTGGGGGCAGGATAGTGTCCAGAAGCACCGAAAGAAACGATGTGAATTCGAGAATGTCGTCCTTGTTCTGCTTGGTGGGGCATCCACAAAATTTTCTACAGTCAGTGAAGAAAAACAGTTGTCTCTCAATCCTGGCAACGCCAAGCGTACGTTGAGTAAAGACGAAGGAATCGGGGCACGATCTAATGCGTCATGGATTGAGATGAATGGCCAATACACACAACGACACACCGGCATCAACAGCGGGACGGACGCAGCGTGAGCTTGCACGAGAACGTTCAAGTGCTCGCAAGTCGGCCGGAACAACAATTGCATGCACGTCGAGACGCTTGCATCGTCCGTGGAGAGCATGATGTCGAGGGCAGTGGAGATCCAATCAATGACTTCGGCGTGACGCTGAACAACGTCGGCAAAACTCTCCAGCAATCGTGTGCAGCCTCGCAACGCCACCATCTATACGACTCCAGTGAGTCACCCGAGGCTTGCTGTGGACGGAGTAACCTTGAGTCCCACGAACGGTTTGGTCCACTTCGGAACCTCGAGGACATGAAGAAAGATGGATTCGAACTCGGCAATGTATGCAGCACAAGTCGGTGCTTCAGTCACATATCGAACAGTCTACAACGTCCTCGTCGATGCATGATCACAGTCTGTCGAAACGACCCACCATTCCAGCTGCAGACAGCAACGTGCCAATCGATTCTTCACTCCAATCAACGCTGTCGACCGGGATGGCAACGTGAAGGCGGAGTTCAGTTAGCACCCTCTCGATCCACACGACGGTGCTTCCTTTGCCCACAGACGTGCCATGCACCTGCTCCTTGACAACATCTGCCCACAAGCATCCTTGCTTCATGCATGGAATCTATCTAGAAGGAACTGACGGACCTGCGATGTTCTTCCCGCGGAGCTTCCCTTCCTGCAAGATGTCCATTTGTTGCGCGGTTTGTTTGGTCCAATTATGCCGACGTCGACGGCATATCCGGAGTGTTTCCGGATAATTTTAGTCTACTAGCAAACTGGTGTCGATGCTCTGCCTTCGTGGCGGCGCCAGTGCTGCGGCCGTTGTCCTGGCGAGCGACTACTTGATCCGCGTGGTTACGCAGTTCCAAGACGGCATCTTTGAATGCCTGAGGCTGGCCTTCTACCGCAACAAGCACTCTCCCGCGTCCTCGAACTTCATTGAGCCCAGCCTAGGTATCGTTCGGCATGCGAGGCACATTGCGCTGGACCTCGTCCAAACTGGGGATATTCCACTGCTAATAGCGCTCTTGCAATGCCACGTGGATGATGTCACACGAACATTTGCTGATCACTGGAAACTCATCGACTTTGCCGCGCTGAATGGACATTTGGAAGTAGTCGAGTTCCTTCATTCGACGGGCTCGTGTGCACGTTTCACGCGATGGCCTTTGCAGCTCAGCAAGGCCATCTCCCGATAGTTGAGTTTTTGCACACCCATCGGTCGGAAGGGTGCTCTCGCCGGGCCATCTCGCTGTCGTCGAATTCTTGCACACCCACCGATGCGAAGGATGCCGTGCCTTGGCCATGGACCGCGCGGCTGCAAATGGCCATTTGAACGTGGTGAGGTTTTTTCACCAGAGCCACTCAGAGGGCTGTACGACACTCGCAATGGACGAAGCCGCGGCTCACGGCCACCTTGACGTCGTCCAGTTTCTGCATGAGAATCGTACTTAGGGGTGCACGGCTTGGGCTGTCGCGGCGCATGGCCATTTGCGAGTCATTCAATATTTGCTGCAAAATCGCGACGAAGGAGGCATGGCTGGAACCATCGACAAGGCTGCGTCCAAGGGCCATTTGGACGTTGTCAAGTATTTACACGCGCATGCTATCGAAAGTTGTACACACCGTGCGATGGACGGCGCTGCCGAAGGCGGGCATTTGCAGGTACAACACGCTGTGTCCTGCCGTTCCCGATACGTGGCATCCCATAGGTGGTGGAGTTTTTGCACTGGCATCGGCGAGAAGGGTGCTCGTATCATGCGATGAATCTCGCGGCCAAGAATGGATTTTTTAATATCGTTCGGTTCTTGCACGACCACCGCCACGAAGGTATATTGCAATAGATTGTCCGTTCGTTTCCTCATCGTGCGGTCGTCAGGGTGCACGACCGCTGCCGTCGACAACGCCGCCCGAAATGGCCACTTCGAAATTGTCAAGTTTTTGCTCACATTTCGTACTGAGGGCCACAGCCCAGATGCCGTGCGCGCGGCCGCGCTCGCGGGTCATGTCGAGTCGTCAACTACCTCCACGCCAAAATGATCGTCGGATACGAAGAGCGAGATTCAGGGCTGGCGTCGCTAGCCGTCCCTCGGATACGCGGTCGATTGCTGTAAAGTTTTGACTTGGCATGTGATATCCCATGCACCAAGACATATCGACGTAATCTTCACATGGCATCGTCGAGCTCACGGCGATAGTGCCCGCCGTCCTGGTTGGCTCGACATGCTCGAGGTCTCAATGACTAATCTGCCCCGCCGTTGCTGAGATGCAAGGGCCGTCGCGTAATCAAGATGGCTTGGTGAGCACTGCGCCCGCATGCCGAATCTACTTCCCGATCTCTTAACCTCTTGCACAATGATACAAAGAGGTGAACACAAACCGGGGAGCCTCATGCACATGCTCATGCTCTGTCGCGCAGCACATCCACTTTCGTAACTCGATCGCGAGCGGTCGAAGCCCTGCAACGCTCTGGAAGGTCGCCGAACTACCCAAAAATTTCGGCGCTGTGCTCGCTGTGATTATTGCCTCGATTCGACGTGCAATCAACATGAAACTCCTGCCGCATGAAACCACCGTAAGACTTGGAGTTTGTATAGCCAAACTTTCGAAATGGACAGACCAGTTGCCAACCCGATGGGTCGACAACTTCGACGACGACGCCTGGCCATTCCCCCATTTTCCACCGCCCGAGTTCGATGGCGGCTGAAGTTGCCGCAGCTCACAACGGAGAGCTGGAGATCCCAGTGGATAACGATGCCGCGTACCAGGCGGTGAAAACACCAGCTGCCGGGAAACCAGTCGCAGGTACCGACAACCAAGTCCCCAAGAAATTGGCGCCGCTATCCAAGTTGTTTCAGTACGCCGATGCGACCGACGTCGCGCTCATTCTTGTCGGGACGATCTGTGCAGCTGGCGCTGGGTTTTCGCAACCGCTCCAAATTCTGCTTTTCGGCAACATTTTGAATTCGTTCAACCCGCCACCAAGCAACGTCGTTCTCACGCAAGCCGAGCTGGATGTGCTGAATGCGCAAATGTCCAAGGGGATCAACGACATTGCGCTCAAGTTTGTCTGGGTCGGCCTCGGGGTCATGGTATGTGGCTTTGGCCAGGTCGCGTGCTGGTCCATCACGGCGAGTCGCCAAGGCAAGCGCATCAAACAAGAGTACATCCAAGCGATCTTGCGGCAGGAAATTGGATGGTTTGACGTGAACAACCCCATGGAGCTTGCGACCAAGGTGGCAGACACAACACTGATCATCCAGGACGGCATCGGGCGCAAAGTCGGCGACGGGATCAACTTTATGTCGATGGGAATTGGCGGAATTACCATTGGCGTCATCAAAGGGTGGAAGCTCGCGCTAGCTCTCTTGGGATTCACGCCCCTCATTGCGCTAACGGCGTTTCTCATGGTCAAAACGCTGTCAACGGCTGTCCAGGCGTCGGTGACAGCGTATGGGGCGGCTGGTGGAGTCGCCGAGGAGTCCCTCTCAAACATTCGCACCGTCCAAATGTTCAACCTGATGGCGGCATTTACTCAAAAGTACAACACAGCGCTGGTTGCGACGGAGAAGGCCGGGATCAAGAAGGGTCTTGCCGTCGGAGTCGGCACAGGCTCGATGTTCGGCATGATCTTTATGACGTATGCGTTTGGGATGTGGTACGGCGCCGTCCAAGTCGCGACCGACCAGCTCACGCTGCCCAAGTGCACGGAAAACTGCTACGACGGCGGGCGCGTGCTGACGGTGTTTTTCACAATCATCATGAGTGCCATGGCGCTGGGGCAAGCGGGGCCAAGTATACAAGCCGTCTTTTCGGCCCGTGCCGCCGCCGCCATCGTGTTTGAAATGATTGAGCGGCCGTCGTTAGTCGATGCAACGTCTTCGCACGGAACGACGTTGTCGGCTGTTGACGGCGACATCCAACTCGACCAGATTGAGTTTCATTACCCCGCGCGACCCGAGGTTCAAGTGTGCAAGGGGTATTCCCTCCACATCAAGGCGGGCGAAAAGGTCGCGTTGGTCGGTCCGAGCGGGAGCGGCAAGTCGACGATTGTGTCGCTCTTGGAGCGGTACTATGACCCGCTCCAAGGCGTCGTGAAGCTAGATGGCCACGACCTCCGATCTTTCAACGTCAAGTGGCTGCGAGCCCAAGTCGGGCTCGTGGGGCAGGAGCCGTCGTTGTTTTCGTGCTCGATAGCTGACAACATTCGATATGGCAAACCTGATGCGACCCTCGAAGATGTGTATGCGGCGGCCAAGCAAGCCAACGCGTACGACTTCATCTCGGCGTTCCCGCTAGGCTTTGACACCCAAGTCGGCGAGCGTGGCGCACAGCTGTCGGGGGGACAGGTGCGCTCCAGTCGCTCTCTCTTGTTGCTGGGGGCGTTGGGACTGACAAGGGTGTTTTTGCTTGGCTAGAAACAACGTATTGCGATTGCGCGAGCCATCATCAAGAACCCGGCCGTCCTCCTCCTCGACGAAGCCACGAGCGCGCTCGACACTGAAAGCGAACGCATTGTGCAAGCGTCGCTCGACGCCCTCCTTGCGACTCGCAAGCGCACGACGATTATCATTGCCCATCGCCTGTCGACCATTCGCGACGCCGATCGCATTGTCGTGCTCAACAAAGGCAGCGTTGTTGAAGAAGGCAGCCACGACGACCTCATGAGCCGCCCCGATAGTCAGTATAAAGCCTTGGTCGAAGCACAGCAGCGGCCTGCGCCGTCCAGCCCGTCGAAAATCACCGCCTTCACGAATTTTGAAGATGTCCAGGAAACCGGTGGGGCAGATACAGCTACACCACGTCAGGATGGGGCTGGAGGAGCGCCGGAGGGCGACGGGGCTGTGGCCGGCGATGCTGCGACGGAAGCCGCGCAGGTGCGAACGATCCCGATGAGTCGCATTTGGAAGCTCAACGCCCCAGAGAAATGGTACATCGTCTTGGGCTCCGTGGGGGCACTTGTCAACGGAGCAGTGTTTCCTGTGTGGGGCCTCTTGCTCACCAATGTGACGGTGCTGTTTTTCAACTACTCGCTCACGGCGGACGGGATGAAGGCGGAAGCGGTCAAGTGGTCGATGGGGTTTATCGGACTCGGGGTCGCGTTTGCGCTGGCCGTGTCGGCGCAGTACTATGGGTTTTCCGTTGCTTCGGAGCGGCTGACGCGGCGTCTCCGTGAAATGGGGTTCCAAGCCATGCTCCATCAAGACGTCGGTTGGTTTGACAAGCAGTCTTCCGGCGCCCTGACCACGATGCTGGCCACGGACTCTGCCATTATTCAAGCCATCACGGCCGAGACAATGAACCGCGGGATTGTCAACTTAGCGACGCTCTCGGTCGCGTTTTCGATCGGGTTTTACTACAGCTGGCAAATGACGCTGGCCATGATTGGCGTGTTTCCGATCATGGGCGCGGCCTCGTACATCCAAATGCAAATGATGTCTGGGCACAACAAGAAGCTCAATGACGGCGACATCAAGGCGGGCGCGTTGCTGTCGGAGGCGATCAACTCGATCCGCACTGTCGCGTCGTTCACGCTCGAGTCGCAAGTGCACTCGCAGTACGTGGGGCACCTCGATCTGTCGGCGACCAAGGATGTGAAGACGGGGCTGGCCGGCGGCACGGGGTTTGGTGTGAGCCAAGGCGTTATGTTTTTCGCCATTGCGTTTTTGTTTTGGTTTGGCGGGTGGCTGATTGTCCACAACCTGGTCGACTTTAAGGGAATGTTCCTCGTCCTCATGGCGATCATGCTGAGTACGTTTGGCGTCGGCCTCGCCGCCCAAAACATGACGGACAGCGTCAAGGCCAAGGAGGCTGCGACTCGCCTCTTTGACACGATCGACCGTACGCCCCCCATCGATTGCGCCAAGACGGATGGGAATACGTTGCCTGAAGTGCGAGGGGACCTCGAGTTTGTGCAGCTGAAGTTTGCTTACCCCAGTCGCCCCCACGCGATCATCTATGACGGCTATTCACTCAAAGTGCCAAGCGGGTCGACGGTCGCCCTGGTCGGTGCGAGTGGGTGTGGCAAGAGCACAGCCATTTCCCTCTTGGAGCGATTCTACGACCCCATCGAGGGCCGCGTGCTCCTCGATGGCGTCGACATTCGCACACTGAACTTGCAATGGCTGCGCCAACACATCTCACTGGTCGGTCAAGAACCCGTTTTGTTTGCTGGCACCATCGCAGACAACATTGCGTCGGGCAAAGTCGGGTCGACTCTCGCCGATGTCCAAGACGCGGCTCGAAAGGCGAATGCGCACGACTTTATCATGCAATTTCCAGACAACTACAACACCCAAGTCGGCGATCGCGGGATTCAAGTGTCTGGTGGCCAAAAGCAGCGGATTGCGATTGCCCGCGCCATCCTGCGCGATCCAGCTGTTCTCCTCTTGGACGAAGCCACGAGTGCCCTCGACAACGAAAGCGAGCGCATCGTGCAAGCGAGCTTGGACGCGCTGCTGCAGCTCAAACGACGCACGACCATTATTGTCGCCCATCGACTGTCTACAATTCGGAATGCAGACATTATCGCAGTCACGGCAGACGGCAAGATTGCCGAGCAAGGGACACATGACGAGCTCATGGCTATTCCCAATGGGAAATACGTTAGCTTGGTCCAGCGACAGGTTACCGCCCACTAGAAAGCGTGTTGTCGAATGAAATTTCAAAATCCATCGTCGTTCGTGCGTGCATCAGTCTAAAACCCGCACGTTCTCCAAGGTGTCCAGAGCCGTCGTCAATAATGGCGAATGTGGTGCACGACGCAGCGCTGCCTCGAATACGGATTCGACAGGCAGAGGTTGTGGACAACCCAAGGGAACTGTCCCCCGCCATTGCCATTGGGCACTTTGAGCTGCCCCTCGATGTACGCGGTGGATTCGTGATCACCTTCTCGAACGATTTGCTCAGCACCGCTCTATTCCTTGACGACGTGCGATGACGACGTGTGCACGATCAACGCGATAAGGGGCCACATTTTTCTTTGGAAAGTTTGGTTGTGGTGTTGTTGTTGGGTTGTCGATCGCAAGCAGGAGCCAATGACATGGCTTGATTTCCTGAAAATATTCTTTCTATCCAATCAAATCCCGAATATGACTCCACAAGAGGGAATGTATTCCACTCATTGGGCCTTTTCAGCCAATCACATACCGCCGATTGCGCATTGTAATGTCGGCCGTCGTCGTTCATCGCGACGTGGACGACTTCGCACCTCTGTGCGATTGTTCAATTTGATCATGAAGGCTTCGTTTGCCGCCGCCGTGTTGGCTGTTGCCGTCTGCCTCCTCTCGGGTGCACCCCAAGTATCGGCTGGTGTGTCCCTCCGTGGCGATAGCCACGCTGACGCTGCGAGTCAAGTCGCAGCGTTCGAGCGCCATTTGGCCGTGCAAAACGCGATGAACACGAAGGCCCCCGTGACGAACAAGCCGAAGAAGACCAAGAAGCCTAAGAAAACCAAGAAGCCCAAGACGAAAAAGCCGAAGAAAACCAAGAAGCCCAAGACGAAAAAGCCGAAGAAGACCAAGAAACCTACGGCGAAGAAGTCCACGACAGCCAAGCCTGCGTCGAAAACCAAAAAGGACAACAAAAAGAGTGCAGGCGCCAAACCTGCCCCTGCGACGAACCCTACGTCGACACCCGCTGGTACTCCTCTCCCTACAACTGACTTGTCCAAGTCGGCCAAGAAGGATGAAGTCAAGCCGACGAAGAACGGTGCTTCCACCTCGACCTTGGCCGTCTTCTCGACCGCAACTGTCGTTGCCCTCACAATCTCGTCGCTGCTTTAATCCTATCCTCTCCTTTGTACTCTGCCCAGCATGTTGTCGCCACGAACGCATTCAATAGCGAGTGCCCCACGCAGAGACGAACATCGTGACCATCCATCTCGTGCGTGGATTCCGCAGCGTCGTTCGGCTCCTCCAGCACTCTTCACCATGTCCAGATCTTTTCCTGTCAATTCTCTTTTCAATCAAGCTGTCGACCAATCAAAACGAACGAATCTTTTTTCGTATCTGTCGGTGGCGCATCCTGTCCGCCCATCGATGGAACGTTGCGGCCAGCGCAACCCTCCGCCACACGACGACTTCGATAGCCACACCTCGCGCTGATTTCTGAAGGGATATTTCCCTCGCCATGACATGGCAGTGTGTTGTGGAGCGTGCATTATACACACACTGCATGCCAACGCATGCTTTCCAAGGTTTCGCGGTGGTGGGCATATTAACTTGAATAACTTGATTTAGAGAAAGGTACTCGCGGGTTTCGACGGGTCGTCAGGTTGCCGCTTGGTCGGGGGGCTCAGCCGAATGTCGCTGCCTTCATCGAGGGCACAATCCGGGGACGCGTCTCCACCATCCACTTTGAGCTTGCGGTAGCCACAATAGCGTCGACGCAGTACGACACAAGTCATGAGCAGAACGACCGCGGCGGTCGCCCCCACGATTGCTGCAACAATCGCCAGGTAGTTTTTGTTGCGCACCACAGTGTCAAGAAGCGTCAGTGTCTTGGCCTGATAGTGCACATATCGCAGGGGCTGGAGGTCGAACCTTTTCTTTTGCCGTGGCGTTTCGCAATATCCAACGTTGTTTCGCACAGCTAGCCAGTTGCTGAGCTCGCTCCATGTCTCCAAGTGCGCGCAATCGGTAAGCTGGTACGGCTGCGCTTCATTCACGCCATGCTGCTCCAGGTTGAGAATGAACTTGCCGCCAACTTCCTTGACTCCCATCAGATAGCAGTCAACGTTGACGACGACGTGGAAACTGCGCAAGTGCAGCTTCTTCAAGTGCTGCTTCTTCGAGTGCTTGAGCGGATCCGTGGTAGTTTCGTTGTGAGCTTCAATCGAGTCGTAGTACAAAATCAACTTGTCGCAAATGGACGTCGAGTTGTACAGGGCAAATGCTTGTTGTACTGCTTCTTGCACTGCTGAAGGTGCCTTGGAAGAGTCGATCGAGGTCCAGACCACAGCCTTTGGCACTGGGGCGGTAGTTGTGGATACGGCATTTGGGTGGATGGTGGTAACTGATGTGTCCTTTTGAGGTTTTTCCGGGTCGCGGTTATCCTTGTCATCGTCATTGTTAGATTCATCGTGATGTAATGTAGTCTTGGGCGATGCTGTCGTTGTTGGAGCTACCGTTGTAGCTTCCTCATCGATGAGGTCTTCAATTGATACGTCATCTCCATCGTCTGTGTCATCTTCAGGACATGGATCAAACTCGCAGTTGTTCAATGGGTTCGGGTGCACCTTCGTCCGGCCATCGGCGCATGTGTGCACAACCTTTTTGCACGTGACGACCTCGTCATCGATATCGTCCCCGTCATCGTCGTTGTCATCGTCCCCATCATCATCATCACCATTGTCTTCACTTTCGTCATCACTGCCATCTTCTTCTTCCAAGTCCTCAGGACATAGATCGAACTCACAATCGTTGAACGGATTCGGGTACACCTGTGTGATCCCATCGGCACAGACGTACACAAGGTCCTTGCACTTCAGCTTTTTCATTCCCACGAGGGGAGACGCATGTCCTCCCGTGGAAGACTCGTCCATGAAGAGAAACATTGCTACCGTGAGCGCACTCACGGCCTTGGACATGTGCATGGTGGTGATCGGCGTCCGCGGTCCAGGGAAAGGGCGAGAGTGCGCACGTTGATCGCTCTGGGAAGTTCCTCGCTGGCTGTAGCGATGAATACCTCTTTTATTGATAAAATTGACAAAACGTATTATGGTACTTGACTAAGTATTAGGCAAATAGTATTTCATATTCCTATATAAACTTATATACCATGACCTTTAATATGTTGCCAATCGTAAGACTCCACAGCCGGCACAAACAGCACGCCTTGCAATGTGTTTAAAACAGCACTTTGTCGTCCAAGTGTTATGTGTAATACAATCAAGAAGTACAAGTAGAGTTTAAAACCTGTTGAAAACACAAAGAACCGAAAACGACAGGCTATAGAACTGGGCCAATCAACGATGACCAAGAGCGTCGTGCCACACGCTCGGGCATTTCAATTCCACGTCGGCAATGAAGTTGTTAGCGCTGGGCGTCGCACTCTTGGCGATGGTTTTGTCGCCGGTGGAAGCCAAGAAGTGCAAGAAACTAGTGCACACCTGCATGAACGGTGTAACGAAGGTGTATCCGAACCCAGACAACGACTGCAAGTTCGACCTGTGTCCCGAAGACATGGAGGACGAAGACGTGGTCGCCCAAGTCGAAGCGACGGTGGCCGTGTCCACTGCCGCCGTCCCTACGGCTTCCACGTCAGTGCTGGACAAATCCCAAGCGAAGCATCTCGCTGAATCCGAATGGACTGAGTTGGACGACGCGGCTGTCCCTTCCTTGTTGCGTGATGCAGCGAAACTCGCGTTCGACTTGTACAAGGAAAAGGCTGTGTGCGAAGAGCTCCAGATCGAGTACTCGTCCATCGAAGTCAAAAACGCGTCCGACTTCATTGGAACCAAGAATAAGGAATCCAAGTACAACAAGATCCCGACACAGTCGTACCATGTCGTTGCAAACGTGTCGTGCATGCTGAGCGGGGAGCAGCAGGTGCCTGGCAACTTCGTCCTGAACATGGAACACCACGGGAAGGACTCGCTCAAGTACTTCCAACTGGTCGAGTGTGGACACGAAGAACAGTGGGGTCAAATGGTCAACTGGCTCACTATTCGTGACGGCCGCGCGTATTGTCAGACGCCTGCGGGGAAAGCCAAGTTTGACTCGCAGCCACTGCACTTTGTCAACGCGGCGGCGTCGCAGTCGGACCCGAACTCAATCATCAACGTGATCAAGAAAGATAACAAGTACATTGCGATTACAGGGGCAATAGTCGGGCTGTTGGGAGTCGTCCTCATTGCCACCGTGATGGCCGTCGTGACGAGCCGTCGATCGAAGCGCGGCGCGAAAAACTGGACCAAGCAAAACGTGCCCACCAAGCCCACGATGAGGTCCGTCCTCGAAGTGGATGTGACTACCGTGGAGAACGAAGTCAACTCAACGCGGGGGCTCGTCGACGGCGTGTCCACCAAGAACAACATGGAGGATATTAAGATTTAACTGTGAAAACTATGCCAAGTCAGTAACCTCGCGACGTGTTGTGCATGGGATTCGTAAGAGCACTACGACACAAATGGAGAAATTCCTTTTAGCGCTTGTGTGATGATAGCGCAGCGTGAGTGCATGCCTTCGCCTCACAGATTTCGTCCAGGCTTGCGTCGGTTGTTGGCAAATGCACTGGTGGCGTCAAATGTTGGCTGGACCATCGCCAGGTAGAGCGACCACGTTGCAGAGGCTGCGACGTATTCCAGGGACGGACTGGCAGCTTCCGCTGCATACGCTTTTCAGCTGATAGAGGGTACACATATGAGCCACGGGAAGCGAAGACGAGGTATTGACTGGAATATGTTTACAAGCTGGAGACAGTTTCGACGACGGCAGGCGCTGCATCGGCGGCGGCACCCTTGACTAGTTCGTCTTCGTTGGGAATGACCTCAACGGCAGGGGCGGCTTCGAGAGCTGCCGCACGCGCTCGGACATCGACCAGTGTTTGTACCAACACGTCAACAGTTCGCTGGAGTTCTTCTTCCGTCTTCAAGTACGAGATGAAGAAGCGCAGACGACACTTGCCTTCTTCAACGGCGGGGTGCACGATCGGCTTGACATTGATACCGTGGTTATCGCTCAGCATCATGGACGCTAGCACAGTCTCGACCGTTGACCCCACGTACACGACAACCACACACGTTCCACGCACGTTGGTGCCGACATCTAACTTGGCCTTGACGCACGCGTCAAAGAAGAACGCACTGAGCTCCTGCAGTCGCGTGGAGCGTTCGGGTTCCTGTGCCATCAGCTGAAGCGACTTGAGGGTCGCGCCGGCGTTGGCAGGGCCGAGGCCCACCGAGTAGACGAACCCTCCAGCGCAATACTTGAGGTACTGGATCAGCGCATGCGAGGCCAGGATGAAGCCACCGACGGAGCCCATTGCCTTGCTCATCGTGCCCATGCGAACATCGACGTCGGATGTCGCGATATTGAAGTGTTCGCACATGCCCTTCCCAGTCGCGCCCATGGTCCCAAACGAATGCGCTTCGTCCAAAAACAACAAACACTTGTGGGCGTTTTTCAACGCGACAAACGCTGGCAGGTCAGGGATGTCGCCGTCCATCGAGTACACGCCTTCAATCACTAGCAGCACTCGGCGGTACTTGTGTCGGACCGAGCGGAGGATACGGTCCGCCGTCGCAACATCATTGTGTGGAAACGACAGGATCGACGCCCCACTGAGGCGCTGGCCCGTCACACAACTGTTGTGGTTGAGCACGTCGCACAAGATCAAGTCGCCCTTGCCGACTAACGAATCGATCGTGGTCACGTTGGCGACCCATCCGCCGACAAACAACACGGCGGCTTCAGCGTTGAAATGAGAACACAGCGTCTTCTCGACGTCCGTGTTGACAATCGTTTGGCCGACAATCGGGGACGAACTCATGCCTGTGCCGTACGTCTACATGAATGCATCCCCACAATAAGATATCAACGTCGCCCATAACGACATCGTACATCGATGGCAGCCTTTGACGCAGCGGCCACTTCGGGATGCGATGCGTAGCCCAAGTAGTTGTACGTGTTGTAGTTGAGTTGTTTGCGCTTTTCGGTCGTGAGCACGTCCAAGTACGGCACCTACGAGCACAAGGTCAGTTTCTACCATGCAGATGAGGATGCGTACTTTGAGGCCAGCAGCAGTCAGTTCATCCATTTGGCCTTGCAAGTGCTTGATCTCGGGAAACGACAGGACGTCGTAACACTCAGGAAGCATTTCGCCGTCTTCACCGACGTACGACATGGCTTGGACGCCCGCTTCACCAGTTTGCGAGTCACTCAATTCGCCAGTTGCCAAACCAGGGGCTGCAATCAACTTGGCGGGGGTGTCATACTGGAAAAACACAGCGGGGGGCACCACCACGCCAAGGAATTCTCCCAGTTCAGCGCTCAAGCTCACAATCGCGACGGAATCCATGCCGAAACAGGCCCACGGAGTATTCAAGTCAATCTTGTCACTGGCCTTGGTTGATTCCTTGTCCTGGTTGACTTCGTCCGAGGTCTCACCACCGCCCACGGCTTCCTGGGCGAGGCGGGCCACGAGCCACGCTTCAATTTCCACTTCAGTGCGCACATCGGTGGGTGGGATGGTAGCTTGGGGCTTTTCGTCGCTTTCAATCTCTTCCGGGGCCTCTTCAATCTGAACTGCCTGGACGGCGGCCTTGGAGTCTGCGCGATGGATGTACTGCGCCGCCAACGACCCCGAGTTGTACTGATTCTTGGCGGCACTACGTTGAATCTTGCCGCTCGTCGTCTTGGGAATCGTTCTGGGCTTGAGCAAAACAATCGCCGCACATCGCAACTGGTGCTCGGACAACACAGAAGTTGCAATCTTCCGGGCAATCGCCCCAAGTTGGTCTTGGTCTTTCCTCAAGTCCGCGCGGAGTTCGACAACCACCACCAACGCTTCTTCTTGCTGAGCCGTTTCAATCGAAAACGCGGCTACGCATCCAGGACGGACTTGATCGTGCGCCAATTCGACCTGACCATGCACATGACGACATTTTGAATCCAATCGAAGGCAGGAATGTCCTACGCACCGAATGCTCAACATCTTGTGGGCACACGTTCCGTCCTCGAATGATGATGAGATCCTTGAGACGCCCCGTGATGAAGACTTCGTCGTGGCGGAGAAATCCCATGTCTCCCGACCTCAGCCAGTTGCCTTTGTAGCTCTGATGGGCCGCCCTACACACGCACGCCATCGTTACCACCCTTGTTCGCACGACATGATCGAACAACGCACTTGGGCGATTTCACTTTGGCATGGAACATCTCGGCAGTGTATTCTTCGCGCTTCCAGTAGCCTTTCGCTACACTCGGCCCTTGAATCCAAACTTCGCCGACTTGGTTTTCGCCCAACGGTTTGAATGACTCGGGATCGACAACGATCACTTTAAACGTGGGCATGGCATGACCGCACCCGACCAAAGTCGTTGCGTCCGGGGACGGGTGGCCCTTAGGTGCAAGCACAACGCGCTTTTGCTTCTCCAGGACGCTCTTCTTCACGTTCAAGACTGACGGTTCTTTTCGTACCTTGGGGTCTTGCCCAGTCACAACCTAGACGTACGATGAGGCTAGAACAGTCCTGTCGACCGAACACGCACCAACGTGACTTCAGCCAGACCGTAGCCGCAATTGAACGTCTTCGGGTCAAATCCGGCCGGGGCGAACGTTTCCGTGAACGCCTCAAGCGATTCGACGCGGATTGGCTCGGCAGCACAGATCGCTTGCTTTAAATGCGACAAGTCCAACTTCGCCACCTGGGCCTTGGACGTTTTGCGCGCTGCCAAGGCATAACCAAAGTTCGGTGCGCACAAATGTGTGCCCTTGTACTTGGAAGCGATACGAATCCACATCGCAGGATCTTTGATAAACGCCAGCGGCGACATCGACACACATCGAGCTCCTGTCCAGCACCATAGTGAGCACCCCTACGCCTCGAAGAGGGGGAATTTGTCAACGTACCGAACGCGCACGGCGTGAGAATGAATCCGACAAGGCCCATGTCGTGGTAAGACGGCAGCCACGAAATAAGGGTGTCCGTCTCTTCGATAGATGCCCACGTCTTCAGTTGCGCTTGGATGTTTCCGTGCGAGATCATGACAGCTTTGGGCTCGGAAGTCGAACCCGAGGAGTATTGGAAGAACGCAACATCGTCCACACCCACGCTAACGTCGGTGAAGCTAAAGGACGATTAGATTTAGGCATAGGTACATCTTTCAAATGGAGATTACGCACCGAGAAGCTGTCGAGCTTGAAATCGCATCAGTCGAGTACCATTGAATGTCCTTGGGCCACGTCGGCGCGTCGCTGGAGAAATAGCTCTTGGCCGTTGCGAGTTGAGTCGCCAAATGATACGTTCGGTTGGTCAAGATGACGCGCGCGCCAGAGTCCGCCACCATACGATTGAACTTGGGCAAATCCTTTGCCAGCGTGCCTGGGTACGGAGGGTAGGTTGGAATGCCGATGGCACCGGCGTACAAACAACCCCAAAACCCCATGGCGAAATCCAAACCAGGAGGGTAGCATAACATGACGCGATCGCCCTTGGACAATCCTGCACAGTACGTTGAATCATGGAAACGCATCGATCGGGGTACTGGTACCGGCGTCAGTCTGCAAAGTCGCTGCGACTTTGCGTGCGGCACGGTCGAGTTCTTCGAACGTGATCACGACACTTTCGTGGCCTTGGTCATCCAGAAAGATGTACACAACCTTATCAGGGGTCTCCATAGCACGGCGTTTGAGCAAGTCGACGATTGTTTCGTCCGGGGCGTCTTCGCGGGCAAACGAGCCCTTGAACAGCCGCTTCGCCGGCCGTTCGACATTCTCATCCTCTTCGTCTTCGATCTTATGTTTCCTCTTCTTACGAGAGCTCATGACAACAGTCGTGCCGACGATGGCCGCCGCAACAGACAGCACGACGACACTAGCGGCTTCAGCGAATTGCATCTCCATGATGCTGCTCCTGCGCTGCTTCTCGGGGAAAATGAAAGTGTTTGAATTCCCTCTCGTAATGGCGACCAATGATTGGTCGACCTGATGCGTCATGCGGCGTACGATGTCGACGTTTTTTTAAAAGATATACGACTTGTATGGCACGGTAAAAACACCCCATTAAAATATGGCCGATATCGCAAATTGCGAGCATTTTACGACTTCAAGGTTGGTTGGTTTCTCATATGAATGCTTGTTTTACCTTGGTATTTGTAACCGAGTGTTCATCTAGCGCAAAATTTGCGGTGAGAATAAAGCTATGTTTCGTAGACAACGTGACGTTCACTTACGTATCGTTTCGACGAGATGACGGGATTAGTGTGATAATCACGGGAAACGTCGTCGGATCCGACAGCGGCCAAGCAACTACGGACGCCGCCGCATCACACTACAGTCCAAGAGATAACTTTGGGAGTATATGGATGCATGATGACCGCAGCACTCAATCCTTTCTTGAATTGGTAAACTGACGAGACGGCTGATGGCACACCGCCACAAATAGAGTTGCTGCAGGGCTTGCCATCATCGGTCTCGTCAGTAAACCCCTTGGTTATGCATGAAACATCAAGCTCGGTGGAAATACTGAGTTGAACGCATCTACCCTTCGATTGCAAGTGCCATCTCCCAAAGGAACTATCGCCTGTGTCGGGTCCCGATTATCCCGACAGGATGACACATAGCTCATTGGCAGTGTTCTGCAGCAACCACAAACTTGCCGAGTGGTTGGACGGATCCCTATCGCAATGAGCTACCCCAACCGAACAAGTGCGATGCATATGGAGCAAAAAGTTTGTTAACACATTGTCGTCGACCGAAGGCATCCACGGGTCATGGAGGTTTTTTGTCGACATCATCGTCACTTTCCAGCTTCCGTCCGTGCTCGAGCCAGACCTCGATTGTTTCGTGCAAGCAGAGGGCAACAGGTAGTGCTTTCATTTGCCTCCACGTGGGCATGAGGAACGCTGACAGAGTCGAATTCACAGTCCAAGGCGATTTGGGTGCCCGAAATGCCGTGATTTTAATGCACGTGATTATCAAGTCAGCGATGCCGCGGGAATTCACGGCCCCAAGCAAGAGTGGCAACCCTGTTGACAACAACATGGCTGGCGCCAATATTGCATTCATGGTACTCCATTGCACGACCATCAATTCAATTGCAAATATAACTCTCGGCGTTATCCTCAAAGCCGTCAACAGAGGCAGGGGCGTGTACATCTGGACCTTTTCTTGTCGTTCCTAGACCCATGATCGTACATGCTTCCAGTCAGCTCTTTGTCATGAGGCATACAAACATTTTGGTACATACACTCTGTAATTCTTTATCCGGACAGGGAGGTGGCATTGTGCAATCCTTGGAGGTGGGCGGCAGGATGTACAACAACAGCCTCGCCACGCTGGACCGCATCATGGGGTCACTTCGCTCGTACACCGTAAGGAGGCGCATGGATGGTGCGGTACAATGTCGTAATCGTGTTCATCTCAGGACCCCTCAAGGGTGCGGTACGATGTTGAGACCCTGTTGCGCCAGATTCCATCCATCAGTCCACAGCACGGTGTGTATACGCACAACAATGGATCCACGAGGTAGGGACAAGTATTTGAATATGAAACCCTTACACAGGCGATAGCACCATGATGAGCCTCACCGGGACGATCCCCATCTACTATGGCGGGAACCAGTACAACATTCCTGTTGAAATCTGGATCCCGGAAGCATATCCTTTTGCAGCACCGACGTGTTTCGTGCGCCCAACAACTGACATGATGGTACTACACACTTGAATCTTCATTCAGTGATCGAACGTCCCTTCCAACATTGCTCCGATTCTTGGAGTAGATTCGGCCGGGTCACCCTCACGTCGACCAAAACGGGTTAATTGTCGTGCCATACTCGACCAACTGGGACTGCGACCACAGCCTTGTTGAGCTCGTGGGGTACTCCCCCAACTCTTCAAATCTACCTTGGTGCCGTCCTCATTGCATTCCAGGTATCATTGCTCGATCTTTGGTGCGCAGCCCCCAGTGTTTCGCCGACCTGCGAACCAGCAACTCGCCCCAGCTCCAACGTATCAGCAACCTTCCATGCAACAAGGCTACACTCAGCAGCCGTATCAACAAGGAGGATACGCTGCATCGTCGCAACAGCAACAAGCACCGTACAGCCAGCCGCCAGCGCAAACGTATCCACCCGCGCAATCCGCGAGTCAAGTTCGTCGAGCCTCCCTCCGTTCGCCCATCAACAACTTCGTCGCTAATCCTGTATACGATTGCGTGTAGTACTCGGCGTACCAACCGCCGGCGATCGATCCCGCCGTGAAGCTCAAGGCCGAAGCAACGGAGAAAATTCAGCACGAGCTCCAAAAAATGTACAGACGAATTCGAGGTACTTGTGTTCAGCACATTTGTGGATAACGCTATGTGGCAGACGAGATCGACGGCGAATTCGACACGCAGCGCGAAATTTCGCACGGCCAGCAACGTCTCGTCCAAGGCAAGCAATCGCTCGAGCAACTCAAGGCCAACTTGACAAACGCCGTCGCCCAAGTGGAAGCGATGGACCGCCAAGTCACCGAATGGATCGCGGCCAACGAAAACCAAGTAGATTGGACTGTGCTTTTTTGCAATGTCGAAGACGCACTGCATGCGTAGGATGAAGTAAACGTGGACGAAGTTCTAGTGGCCGCGGATCCCCTTTCCCAGCAGTACGCAGTGGAATAACGTGGTGAGCATACGCTTGAGACGACCACCATCGTTGTGTGTAGGCAATTGGACGCATATGCTGAACGCAATGCGATAGAAGATGCGCTGTACTTCATGGACCGCGCCCTCGCCAACGGCGAAATCGAGCTCCAAGTATTTTTGAAGGTTGGATCACATGGTGGATAACGTCGCGCCTGACGGAGGAGGCGTATTCTCGTAGGAGGTGCGAAAGCTCGCGCGAAAGCAATTTATGAGCGTTGCGTTGATGCAAAAGGTGCATGACGTCCAACACACGACAGCCACCCGTCGCTAATACGAGATGTGCATTTTGTGAAATATGTGAGTGTACGAGGGGCTATGTGGACTGGAGACCCGCGGCTTTGGGTCGTCGCGCCAAATGCGAGATGGCTGCGATGAGGGCGTCTGCTACTGCCCGCGGTAGCTTGCGCTCAAAGACATGTCGCCACACCACTGCATGCATGCACACACTTAGATAGGTGTGGACCGTCGGGAAGGTGTGCTTGCACGTACACAGCATGATGACGAACGCGCCGCCTATGTGGGTGACCCGATATGCACTCCACTGGACCAGGCGCTGCCACACAAACCGACCTATAGAGTGGAAATAAGGACGACTCTGAAAATGGCACTACTGCCACTGGAAAAGTACCAAATCGTAGAGCTCTAAATACTGCCGACGTCTCGATGCGATGCGTCAGTGCCGCATGCTGTGCGGCCAACGTTGTGACTTCTATCTAAAGATATTGGTGACCAAGGTCGTGACGCAACAGAGGAGTTGAGTCGAACCTGCTGGGCCTCCAGTTGCTTGTCGATGCGCTTGATCGTGTCTCGTAGTTCAGTGCGGAGAACATCCACTTGGCGCATCTCCCTCGTGAATGTGGTTTTCTATCCATCGTCAAGCAGCATGAATCGGTGACGATGATCGAGTCGAGCTTACCGTGTCGTAAGAGAGCGTGTGCAGTGCCTCAGATAGTTCTTCATGGCGTTGACTGTCGAAATGTAGCTTGGCTTTCAGTTCGTCAACTTCCTGGGCCAACGACGGGAGACGTTCGATGAGAGATTGCGACGATGTTGTCGTTGGTCCATCCTTGGCATTGGGAAGTCGAAACGATGAGCTTCGCCTCCAGTTGTCGACCTGTTACGGATGAAGAAGATGTGCGGTCTGGGTGGACCACGCGTACCAGGTCGTCCATGGTTTTTATGTACTTTTGCTTTGCTTGTTCCTTGGACAGATTGCCCAATGCCTTCCACTTGCTCCTGCACATGCACCAACTCTGAGCAAACAGAGAGGTTGTGGAACGATGCACACCACGACGCGAGGTCAGTTGACGATGTCCCGTCCAGAGGTGGTGCCACTAAGCTGCAAGGTCCTAGTGTGGCTTGCTGGAAAAGTGCGTCGAAGTCAAGTCGCACGGATGATGTCGGGTTTCGCAGGATACGATGAGGACCTGAACATGCACGCTCGTCATGCTGGTGTACATGCATGCAATAAGCGCATGTACCATTGTACGTCTGCAGGAACAGTACCGCTGCGGCAAAATCTGTCTCCACGGACGCACCACTCTCCATGATCGTCGGCCGTTTTTTCCTTTGATGAGGTGTGGAGTATAAATTCGGCTCTGCAAGATGTCTACGTTACAACTACCGAAATTGATAACCTCTGTAATCTAATTATCGGCAAATTTCAGTATCACAAATTGCTACTTCATCAAGGTATTCTGACGCGAGTTCCACGTCCGCAGCTTGACTGAAATACGACCTCCTTTGTTCAGAGAGCCAACGTAGTGATTGTCGTCAAAGGTGTACGAGGGGTATGCAATGACATGTGCAACTGTCGCCTCTACTCTTAACCCCGAGATAGCGGTTGCGACTGGAAATTGCTCAGCCAGTCCAATCGAATAGCCGCCACCGCGTCGGTGGTGTCTCCATGGAGCCGGTACATGCATTTGCATAGTGTTGTGGGATTGGGCAGCATGAATTTGAATTTCAAATCTGACCATATTACAGAGACAACGATACAGTGCTGGTCGTTGAAGTTAGGTACACTCATTAATCCTTCATAAGTATGGCGAATTTTGTCCAATTGTAATAAGGATTGGACCGACTTGCACCAATCAAAGCGCTGAATGCATTGATAGTTTCTGAGTTTAAAAGTGGCCAATATTAGTCGAGAAATTCGTAAAATAAGGAATAGGATGGTCAAAACCTCGGTCAACCACGTGTGGTACACCATCCATTCGACAATTTTGGTGGCTCTAGAAACATCGTAAAACAATGCTAACCTAATATAACACAAAACTAACACTTCTGTGACCATTTTAGATGCATCAAGGCCAGCTACTCTCTGCCCAAGACCGTGGATCGATTTTGGCGTTTCGGAAGGCCGGGTGGTCCATTCGCAAGATTGCCAAAGAGTTGGGGATCTATAAGGCAACTCTTCACACTTTCCTTTAGAGATCCTAAACTCTATGGCACGGCCTTGCGAGGTGGAAGAAACGCCAAATTGAGCGTGTGACCACAGACGACTTCTCCGTTCGGCGTCCCAAAGCGATTCAAGTTCCACGCGGCTATAGCATGATCTCGAACTGAACGTAGTGGCACGAACATTCCGACAATATTTGTCAAAAACTTCCTATCTCAGCTACAAGAAACGCATGGCCGCCCCACGACTCACTGCAACTCCGAAGCACCCAAGGCTCGAGTGGGAAAAGAGTCAAGTCGACCTTGGATTGGGGTGGAACCAAATCGTCTTTTCGGACGAGAAAAAGTTCAATCTGGACGGTCCAGTTGGACTCCAGTATTACAGTTCTGTATTGGCATGATATACGTAGGAAGGAGCAAACGTGTATGAGCCGCCAAAATGGTGGAGGAAGTGTCATAATTTTGGCCGGCATCTCAAGTCAAGGAAAGATTGTGATTGCTGTGCTGGAGGACCGGTAAGATTCCTTTGCGTATTGCTACACAATCTCCAGCTACCTCATGCCCTTCGTGCACCAATTCCATCCGGATGGATTCGTCTTTCAACAAGATAACGCCAGCATACACACCAGCCGCGAGACCAAGGCCTTCTTTGCTGACGACGGTGTCCCTTTGTAGCCCTGGCCTGTCCTCTCACCAGACCTCAACCCCATTGAAAACATTTGGGGAGTTTTGGTCCGTAAAGTGTATGCGAATGGGCGGCAATTCGAGCGTGTTGAAGATCTAAAATGCGAAATTTTACGGCAGTGGGCGTCCTTGGACCATGATCTGCTTCTCAAGCTGTTGGCATCCATGAAATCCCGTTGCATCACTGTCATTCAAGGCAAGGGGTCATTTACTAAATATTATAATGAGTTTTGGTTATGTTGTATCAATTTTGTGTCTTTGAACTACCAAATTGTGCACTGTACCAAACTTGCTTTGCCAACAAAAAGTACACATTTTCGAACATATAAATGCTTTGTGTTGTATGAGCTCGTTGCGTCAAAAGGAAAGGTTGTAGACCTGTTGTTGGCTTTCGTAGATTCATTGACATCAATGGCGACGTCATTAAATTGTGTCGTCGATCTGTTCGTGTTAAATTCATGGTGTACCAATCTTGAATGGCCAGCACTGTATAACTCACGGCCATCTTGAGCACTACACCATGAGCAAACGACTCAAGTGGTCGTACTCAATGGACGAGAAGCGGCAGTTGCTCAAGTCTTTGATGAGCAAAACGTCAGCAGCAGAAAGTTCTGCG